ATGTTAGTTAATTTAGTGTCTCACGATAGTTATTGTAAAAACATGAGCTTATGTTGTTTGACTATACAATAACGTGACGTCACAATACACAATAACATATAACATAACATCACGCCTTTTATCCACAAAGGGGTAGGCAGAGTTGCACATTATACCACTGTACAATGTAACACCCACTTTAGACACAATCTCGTACACAATGTATAGAAGTCTGTCGTGTCGGTCAGTTCTATGTAAAGTACTGTATGTGACTAGTTGGCAAGTACCCAGTTCAGTATGTGTCACTGTCGTAATTATACAACAACATATTATATCTAAAGACAACCTTCGACTGTTTGACATAATACAGAGAAATTCCACCAAGTTGTAGATGTAAGTAGCTATCCATGGAACATAGAACAACATATAATGTAACAACATAATATATAACAATTATATGATAAAACTGCAGCACTCTTGTACTGGATGGTACACACCCGTCTTTATATTATAAGGAATGAATTTATATATTGTAAGTAGGTATGTATGTATGTATATCGCAGCGTAGAACACATTTTGTCACCAACGCTACCCTTCCCGCGGGTGTGGTATACCCGACTAAAGGACTATTACTGATACATATTTAACAGAAACTGGCGGCAGACTTAGTTCGCACTCCAGACGCGGGTGTCGTATACCCTACTAAGACACTCCACATTAGACAGAGCCCGTGCAGCAGCGCTCTCTGATAAACCTGAACCTTCACACTGTCTACTGATGGAGACATGTCTACGTCTTATCAGTCTTTATTTTATCTATTCTTCTCGCGGGTGTAGTATACCCGACTTTATTTGACTGAGATCGTGCAGCAGCTCTCTCTGATAACCCTGACCCTTGTACCCTGCGACCCCCAACCCGCCTGCCTGCGGAGATTGTGACAAACCCTCTTATGTAGAGGACACTCATAGTGCAGCACTGGACTGTCACCCGCTGTACATTATATCGCAGTACTACTGACTATATTATTAATTGATGGTCAAAAATGTTGTTCAAAATTAACAATATTTTGACTTTGATTCAGTCGCGATATACATACATACATATGTCTGAACACAGTACATATACACAATATATATGTAGTCCATATGCTGTATACAATACTATATAACATATGTACATTAAATATATAGTTTATTATATATTTATTTATTGTTTTAACATAACGCTGTTGCTACTGAGACGGCGTGTTAGCGGTGTTCTGTGTAGGTTCGAGTACCGTGTCGAGTAATGAAGTATTTCTGCGTATTGTGCCCAATATCTTGTCATACCCGAGGGTATAGGCAGAGAAGTAGAGTAAATTATATTTTTGGTACCTGATGGTAAGCAATTGGCTATGCCCATGGACACCAGAGGCGTTACAAGTGCGTTACCGGCGATTAGGAATTTGAGGATTGTTGGGGATTCGGGGATTGGGGAGATCAGGTCACCTGATGGTAAGCAATCGGCGCCTATGGACACCCGGAACACAAGAGGAGTTACAAATGCCGAGTCCGGTCGAGTTGTACATCAAGATGCCTCACACAGATATCGAACCCCGCTAACACTGCGATTCTCTTTGAGACAACGTGTAAACATACACACACACACTTATACTCTATATTTATAATATTCTGACACGTCTGACAGTCTGACTTATTGGTCTGAACGTTTGTAGTCAACTTCACAATACTCTGTCCTCGATGTTGTTGCGTGTGACTATGGATCCCTGGTATGGTTTGTAATTAGTCGAGTTGTCTCGTTGAACAGTTTGACGTTGAAACATTACTAAATATTGCTGGTATTTGAGAACCTTCATGATGTGTTAAAAATTTGACGACAAACATACAGACCTTCTCTTGACATACATAAATGCTATGTAGACCAATTATCATACTTATGTATAATATTTTTATATACAATCTTACATTTAATATATATTATAATGAAAGATATATACTACATTAGTCGAGGATCAAGTGATACACTACATAGTATAAAACAAAGTCGCTATCCGCCGTCTGTCTGTCCCTATGTATGCTTAGATCTTTGAAACTACGCAACGGATTTTGATGCGGTTTTTTTAATAGTGTGATGTATATTATACTATTATATAAAGCGGAAGAGTTTGTTTGATTGAACGCGCTAATCTCCGTAACTACAAGTCTGATTTGAATAATTCTTTTTGTGTTGGATAGTGCATTTATCGAGGAGCGTGATGTTTCATAGCCTGTAGACCTATAAAACATCACGCTATGACCAATAGGAGCTGAGCAGAGCGTGTGAAACCGCGCGGAAGTAGCTAGTGTTTAATATTTAGACTAAGTGGGTGGTATTGAGTTATTTGTTAGTTATATTAAGGCGGTCGCCGCCGCCGCAACAGTCTGCGAATGTACGCTGTGCTGTCGAGACGTCCGTTGTTTCATTCCGCTCCTAGTTGACAAGAGACCTGCATACATATATTCTTCAAATAGATAGTGACTAGCTTTTACCCGCGGCTTTGCTCGCGTCACAAAAGGATAAAAAGTAGCCTATGTGACATATACCAATACATACAGCGCCTTCTATACCAATACTTTTGTTTTCCCTCGGGAATATCAAATTTTTCCGGTATAAAAAGTACCCTATTATTTAATTCAGACTTCTGACTTTACGTCTGCAAAAATTCAGTAGTTACGGCGTGAACGCGGAACAAACAAACAAACTCACTTTCCGATTTATAATATTAGTAAGGATTCCAGAGCAACTTACGATACTTAGCACACAGAGAGAAACACCATATTGTTTACGAAATCACAATAAAGTCCTCAACTAATACAGTATGCATACTTTTAAAACGAACATAATATAGCTGTCCTTATCTCTCATATGGCATTAGAAAGAGCATAACATAACATCACGCCTTTATCCCCGAAGGGGTAGGCAGAGGTGCACATTACGGCACTTACTGCCACTGTACAATGTAACACCCACTTTTCACTATTTATGTTATGATTAGAAAGAGATTTATGATATTAGCACAGTTTTAAACCACGCCTTTATATTGTTATATAGAACTTTATATTTTTACTATAAGGGGTCCGTTGCCAAACTTCAGCCACAAATAAGAGATCAAAAAATCAAATTGACTAGTCCAAAACAAAAACAAAAAGCCGAACATAGTACCTCCTCCTTTTTTGAAGTCGGTAAAAACGAAACATCATTGCATTATATTAACTAAACATCGCGGGTTACTCACGTGGATATACTGAGAAAAGCTCTACTAGTTGCGAACCACAGAGGGGTTCTTCCTCATGAGCTCGCAGCGCCGCCGCCGCGACCGCGCACGGTAGAGCTTTTCTCAGTATATTCACGTGAGTAACCCGCGATTTTAAGTTAATTTAGTATGTCTCACGATAGTTGTTATAAAAACATCATTGCATTATATTTCTAGTACCATACGAAAGAGAGACAGCTATATATATATACATATTATACCCTTAAAATATAAGTAATCACTTTGCAACATTATATTGTATAATAACATTATTATATTTATGTTATATAATTTATACAAGTTCATTATACTATGTATACATAGTAGTTTACTTTTCAATGAGATCATAGGAGAAGGGGGGAGATTGTGTTTGAGTCTTAATACAATACCAAAAACATTCAAATTTTATGTGAAACATTTCAATATGGGAGATATATAGATGGCCGATATCACCAACTTACTCTTCATTTAACATTGATTGAGCAAGCGTGGTGATTAATGCTCAAACCTTCTCCGTGTGAGAAGAGGCTTTGCTCAGCAGTGGGCATTTATAGGCTGTTGATACAAATTAGCTGAAATCTCATTTAATTATAATTTTTTACACAAAATTCAATTCTCAATGGTTTTATGTCAAGACACACGGAGTGAGGGAGTATCGCAACGTTTGGGTTTATTATATATAGGCCCAATATATCATTTTTAAATATATATTACGACTCGGTGTATTACAATTATAAATAAATAGCTGCACTGACGGACAGACTGAGTGACTGACAATAATAGTTTCCGACATTGATGGCCATTTACACCAACCACCCCTAAACTAAGGGTTACTTAGCGTAAGGAAACACTTAAACTCACTGCTTGTACTGTTAGGTGGTACTTAGAGGTTGGTGACAACCAATATATCGTTAAATTAAACCAATCTTAGCTTAGGGGTGCCTTAAAATGTACAAGTTAATGGAAATAATAAATAGAAACGCACCGAGTCGTAATATTATCATTTCAAAATCTATGTCGAGTAGGCCAACACATACATACATCAAATTGGAGCTTAAAATTAAAATTAAGGGATAATGGAATTTATCACTGACACCATAGAGTCCATATTTTTGTAGGGGGGAAGGGGGATGGGGGAGGGTGGGCGGGGATGCACTGATTCTCCACTTGAGTCTTGTTAAATCACTGCACTGTTGACGGCGACTGTTGCGCGATTAGTTGCGGAACAGTCGCTAGCAGTCGTAGCACGAGTCGTGGCCCGACTGGAACAGAAAATGTTAAGATTATAAATATGTTTTTGCCCCTATTGAGCTTGCTTTTCAAAATCAAGATCAATTCTGAGATTTTACGGTAAAATCAGTTTATTTCGGTCGTACGTAAATTAAAAGTACTGTTTTTTATTTTAAATAACTTCTGCCCGCGACTTTGTACATGGAATTACGTATTTTTTCATTCCCGCAGGATTTCCGGGAAATGTTTAGTTAAAAAGTATTTTATGTCCGTCTCTTGGTTCGAAGCTACCTCCCAAGCAATTTTCATCGAAATCGATTTAGCTATATTGAGTTATAAATAGTGTAACTAACACGACTTTCTTTAATATAACAATTTATATTAATACAAAGCTACAAAGAATCATATTTATTAAGAATCCTCCGACTTGAGAAATGATAAGCAAAAACTATCCTATTATTGTTAATAATGTGTGGACGTATACCTGCTTGGCTGGTCCTCACGCATACGTGTGTCGACTGCCGGAACTCGAACCCGAGTACGATGGCTCCAGTCTGAAATGTTAAGTTTGAATGATGGACTCTGTTGGCAGGCGAGCAGGAGTAGCCAGTACAACGGTACCTGTAGTGTGTGTGCGTGGCGTGCCGGTACACGTCGTGCGGCCGCGGGGACGCCGGCCCGCCGGCCGCCCCGTGCGCCGCGCCCCCGAGCGGGCCGCCCCCCGCCGGCCCGCCCCCCGCCGGGCCCCCGGGGCTGGGGCTACGGGAGCCGGGGGCGTCCGCCGCCACGCTGCCCAGTCTGCTCACTGTCATACATGCAGAATTAAATATAGTAATCATTCTTTTGCAAACTACGTTTAGAGAAACTGACTGAGTAGAAGTATGACGGGACGGGAGAAGTATGGAGGGTATCGGAGGCTGAGTCACCCCCGTCCGTAGGAGAGTACCCATATATTAAAATCATCCTTACACGTGGCCTCTGGGCGGTGCGAATCGGGTGACACTATGGTGGTAGGCTTCGGCAGACGGCCTTATGACCACTCACCGAGCAAAAACGTGTCGCCAAGCGGCCTAGCCGTGTTCCGCCACGATGCTCGGTGATGCCGATTGAGGGGATAGGTCGAAGTGGGTGTTCCTACACTCCTGTTTCTTTCGGAGATCAGATGTCCGTACGTCGTATCGTATTTTAGACTACCCGGGATACTCCCTGATACATAAATTCGTTCGACGCGCTGGTGTATGCCTATACGTTCGCGACGGCGTCTGTCACCGGCGTCTCCGAAATCTTGAGGACCCCTTTTCTCTATTGTCTGGATACTCGTGGACTTGGAGACGACCAGGTTGGTGCGACATCTTTGTGAGGCGGTGGATGCGGCTCAGCTTCGGTACCCTTGTGCCCAACTGGTGATACTGGGTGACTTCAATGCCCATCACCAGGAATGGCTTTTTCCATATCAATGCACCGACCATGCTAGGAGGGAACTGCGAAAGCTTACGTTGACGTTTAACCTTAAGCTTTACCAGCTGGGCTGATCCAGGAAGCCACAAGGGTGCCCGATGTGGATACGCATACAGCCAACTGCCTTGACCTTCTGCTGACAACTAATCCAGACCACTACTCGGTATCAGTCTCATCACCCTTAGGTAGCTCTGATCACTGTCTGGTGAAATCTGTATCTACACACTCCCCACCTGATTCTAGACCTGGGGAACCACGACGGATGTGGCGATACAAGTCAACAGAATGGGATGGAATGAGATCCTTTTTTGCATCGTATCCATGGTGGCCTGTTTGCTTCTCTTCCGATGATCCGTCAGCTTGTGCAGATGCCGTAACGGGGGTGTTGCGTCAAGGCATGGAATATTACGTTCCGTTTTTGGACGCGACATACGTCGGTGGCTTTCGCCCATGGTTTGATGCCAACTGCAGACGCACGGAGGCACTAAAGCATGCTGCATATATGGCATGGACGGACGCCAAGTCCCATAGGGCTAGTGATATACTTCAAAGGAAGAGAGCTTTCAACCGGGCCGCCAAGTCTTACAAAAAGGCACTGCGCGCGGCTCGGTTCAAACACATCCGCCGAATAGGGGCCAAACTTGCTTCTTATCCAACGGGTAGTAAGGCTTTTTGGTCCCTGGCCAAGTCGGTGGAATCGAATTTCTGTCGCCCCTCACTCACACCGCTACTGCGGTCTGATGGAACGCTGGCTTATACCGCAATGGAGAAAGCGAACTTATTCGCCTCTCTTTTTGCGGAGTCTTCGCGTCTTGATGCTGGTGGCGCTTCACCACCTTCTATACACCGAGTATGCGAGACTAACATGTCGGACATTCGCATTCGACAGAAGGAGGTCTGCAGAACGTTGCGCAACCTGGACGTGAACAAAGCCAGTGGTCCCGATGGAATCCCGGCCGTAATACTGAAAACTTGTGCACCTGAGTTAGCTCCAATCCTGACACGTCTATTTCGCCTATCTTTGGAGACTGGTCAAGTGCCGAAAGCATGGAAGCTGGCCAACGTGCAACTTGTGCCTAATAGAGGTAGCCGTGCCGACCCTAGTAACTACAGACCTATCTCGGTCACGTCCATACTCTGTAAGAGTATGGAACGTATACTGAATAACAGGCCCCTGGCATACCTTGAAGGTAACGATCTCCTTAGTGATCAGCAATACGGATTTCGCCGAAAGCGATCTAATGGGGACCTTCTTGCATATGCCACCCACATCTGGAGCGAGGCTATCGAGAAACACGGGGAAGCGTTAGCCGTATCGCTCGATGTCTCGAAGGCCTTCGACAGGGTCTGGCACGATAGTCTTGTTGGCAAGCTTCCCGCATATGGACTCCCCACTGGTTTGTGCAGATGGATAACAGACTTCCTGAGGGATCGATTGATCCGAGTGGTCATTGATGGCTGCTCATCCAATCAGCTAGGTATTAATATACTTTTTTGTTGTACATTAATGACCTGCTCCAGCCCGGTATCTTTGGGTACGCAGATGACAGCACCGTTGTTGAGAGGTATGTGTCCGATGCGCGAACCAGTGCAACTCAAATCCAGTCTCTGAGAGAATCTATGGTAAATCGTCTGAACCTGTCCTTGCAGGCGGTCTCCGATTGGGGTGACACCAATTTGGTCAGGTTCAATACCAGTAAGACCCAGGCGTGTCTGTTTTCCGCTAAACGGAGTCGGTTCCCACTAAATCCTACTTTCCGAGGTGTGTCCGTTCCGATGGGTGACCGTCTTGAGCTTCTCGGCATAACTCTGACGCCCACTCCCAATTTTGGCTCGTATATTACGTCAAAGGCGCAACTGGCTGGTAGAAAGTTGGGTGTCCTGTCGAGGGTGAGACGGTACTACGCGCCGGAGCAGTTGCTCACTCTTTACCAAACAGAAGTTCGGTTGTGTGTGGAGTATTGCTCCCATCTTTGGGATGGCTCGGCTAAATGCCAGTTAGAAGCCCTCGAATCCATCGAGAAGCGTGCCAAGAGGCGAACACAGGCGTAAAGTCGCAAGCCTTTCGGTCTTATATCGGATACATATGGTGGACATTCCACCCATTTGCACGAAGCGTTTCGCGTCAAGCTTCCTCATGGGAACCGCTAAGGAATGGAATTCCTTGCCGGAGGCTGTTTCCCGTCAAATCTGACTTGGGTGTCTTCAAGTCCCGAGTGAACAGGTTGCTCATTGGTAGGCGTCCTCCATCGTCGGGATTCAGGAGAGGGGCCGTTCAAGTATTACGTAAGCACCATTTCTCTGTTTTGCTTATTTCGGATGATATGGGGGGTAGGGGAGTCTAGATGGTGATTACGTCATCGGTAGTTATTTACTTTTTTACACGAATGGCAACTCTCATATTGAAATTATAAATTAAAAGCAAAGACCTACAAAGAACGAGACATTGTGGTATTTGGAGAATATTAAAATTACAATATGTATAAAAAAGATATAATTTAAAATGTTTACGTAAGCAAAGGGGGAGGGGGTAAGATCTTTGCTTACTTTTGCTGACAAGGGGGGTGGGGTGGTAAATAATTGTAAAAAATCTGCTTACGTAATATTTTTTTTTTTTAGTAGTACTTAGAAGTACACGACATAAAACTGAATTATTAGGAATTAGATATAGGACAATTAAATTTAAATCTAGCGTATTTGGAATTGGAGTGAAGATTTATAATAAGATACCAAACAGTATTAAGTATATTTCAGCTATCAATCTCTTTAAATTTAAACTAAAGCAGTTCTTGATAAATAAAGCATATTACACAACTAGCTTTTACCCGCGGCTTCGCTCGCGTCACAAAAGGATAAAAAGTAGCCTACGTAACATATAACGATATACACAGCGCCATCTATGCCAATACTTTTGTTTTCCCTCGGGAATATCAATTTTGTCCGGGATAAAAAGTACCCTATTATTTAATCTGGACTTCTAACTTTACGTCTGCAAAAAATCAAATCAATCGGTTCAGTAGTTACGGCGTGAAAGCGGAACAAACAAACAAACCCACTTTCCGATTTATAATATTAGTAAAGATGAAAGATTATTTAAATGACAAGACATTGGAATAGCTGCACTCTAACAAACTGATAGTAAATGTATATACAATATTCAACGTACAACAATTTTATGTATAATTTTGACTTAAATTTATGAATTTTTATTTTTTAATTTCTTATATTAATGACTTCATCATTAGCCATTTGACCAATGTTAATGGGGATGATGACAGGGTATGAAAATTAAAAATATAATTAGTCCGTAAGTTAGGTAATGAAAAAATATTAGACACGTATTTTTTTATTTTTTCGTATAATAAAACAATACTTAGATAAAACGAATCAAAGTTTAGGAGTGGGGGCTAAAACGTCATTCCTTAGTATAAAATGTACTGAGAAGTGACGTCACGCGACATTTCAAATCAATATATCTTCGAAACTATTCGTTTCTGTGAGAAAATAAAAAATACGTGTCTAATGTTTTTAAATAATCTACCAGACGGACATTAAAATAAAAATTAGTCGTCTACCCTATTTGGACCAATGTTGTACAACTTGATCACTGACTAATAATCTGATTAATATTGATTATCAAATTAAAGTTCACTTAATCCTTACTAATATTATAAATCGGAGAGTGAGTTTGTTTGTTTGTTCCGCTTCCACGCCGTAACTACTAAACCGATTGCTTTGATTTTTGCAGACGTAAAGTTAGAAGTCTGGATTAAATAATAGGGTACTTTTTATCCCGGAAAAATTTGATATTCTCGAGGGAAAACGAAATTATTGGTATAGATGGCGCTGTGTGTATTGGTATATGTCACACAGGCTACTTTTTGTCCTTTTGTGACGCGAGCGAAGCCGTGGGTAAAAGCTAGTATTTTATAAATCTTTATATATATAATTTTTCTGTGAGTGTGTATGTCACTGAACTTCTCTCAAACGACTGGACCGATTATGATGAAATTTTTTGTGTGTGTTCAAGGGGATCTGGGAATGCATTAGATTGACAAATCAGCCCGGCAGATGGCGCTGCTCGACTGTAGCGTTTAGGTTATTTATCCTAAACATCTGAACTAATTTGAATGAATTTTTGTTTATACATTCAAGTGGATATGCAGGACAACGTCTGTTGAGTCCGCTAGTTTAATATGACAAAGGTTTAATAAATTAATGTAATAATTCCGTTACATTCTATATTGTAAGGTGATGACTAGACATATTTATATTGTACAGATTTCACTGATGCAACATAAATTTTGTAATATTTTGAGTCTAGTAGAATAATCCAAATATCATAAAATATTATAGGTATGCTACTATGCTACTACCTCTATTATTATCCTTACTAATATTATAAATCTGAAAGTGAGTTTGTTTGTTTGGCGATAGATGGCGCTGAGTGTTTATAAAACGGGTTAGCGTTGTTTTTTAAGTATTTTTCGCTTTTAAATTTTGGTTCCAACAATTTTACATTATATTTCGTATTTTATAAATTTTAGGTTGTTAAAGGTACACGAAATCATAGTGGCAACAATACTCAACAATTAGTAAACACAATACTCAACTATACATAACATCTATTGTCAACATGCAACAACCAATAAATGATATTGAATTTGAATTCTTTTTAAAGTGTGGGAGAGCCATGCTCCGGCCCGGCCGGCTCGACCGGAGTGACAGAAAGAAAGAAAGAAAGAAAAATACTTTATTTCACGCCAAAAAGCAAGTGACATGTACAAATAAATCATTGTATTAGTAGATACTGATGGATACATGTTCATGTCCCAAGTCTGCCGCGAAATGGGACCAGTTCAGCATGTGCAAGACAGGGCCTCGCGCTGGTATTCTACTGGCCCCTTAAACTGCCAAACACCGCGAGGACACCGGTGACCGCAACCTATTGTTCTTTAATTGTGTCTATAATGACGGTACTCAACGAGTTAGGTGACTCGCGGACGAACAAGCCACCAATTAGACATTAACAGTTCGATACCACGGCCGAGCAGAAAACCGTAGTGAACCAACCACAGCGTTGTGTTTCGTCGTGTGAGTGAGGATACCGGAGGTCGAGTCAAGTACCCCCTTCCCCAGTTTCCTCAATCCCCGAATCCTCCACAATCCTCAAAATCCCAATTCCCAAAAGGCCGGTAACGCAATGGTAACGCCTCTGGTGTTCCAGGTGTCCATGGATGGCGCCGATTGCTTTCCATCAGGTGAGGAGAAAAGCTAGTAAAACATAGTATAACAATATAAAAAACTTACGGTTATGGTGTGTAGGCGCTAGTTGTGCTCGTCCCCCCCGCTCCCCTCTCGTGTGGGGGAGTGTCGCGGGGGAACGCTGTCTGTGGGTAGGGGGCATCAACGAGGGATGCTGGGGGGGATGCTGAGGGTGTTGCTGTTGCTGTTGGGGGTGTTGCTGGGAGTGCGAGCCCCCTAGCAGGAGGGGGGCCGCCCCCGCTGGTGCGCGGGACGACGAGTATGCTGTAATAACACAAAATAGTTGTTGATAATATTGATAACTACATAGTATAAAACAAAGTCGCTATCCGCCGTCTGTCTGCCCCTATGTATGCTTTGATCTTTACAACTACGCAACGGATTTTGATGCGATTTCTTTTAATAGATAGAGTAATTCTTAAGGAAGGTTTATATGTATAAGCACCCGTGCGAAGCCGAGGCGCATCGCTAATTAAACATATAGTTTTTAACTAGTCCACTTACATTGTTAAAACGTTACGTTGTAGTGTCCCCTCTATTATCATAATCTTTGTATCCTAATAGTGTATAAGTTAATTATATTTCATTAATAAAACACAGTATATTCTCAGCAGTCATTCGTTTCACTTCGTTCCCTTACGCCTACCGTACATGGCGACCCTGCCAAAAGAAGGTGTCATACGAGTGTCGCGTATGTGATACCTATCGCGCAGAAGTCTGAACTGTTTTGGTATAAGAATGTAAAACAATAAGTGAACTTTAGTTGTTACCAAGATGAACAATTTAGACTCAATCGTAGTACACTTGAGTGCTGTCGTATACATCGAAAATTGTCAATATGGGATCCTCAAAGTCAAAATATGAAGAAAAAGTTGTCGTCCAAAACGCGATCGGTGGGTCCAACCAGGCATCATTTGAGGAAATAAAGTTTCATCTAAGCACCGCTAGCATAATTCTGACGGTAATCGCATTGGTTCTGGGAGTTGGTCTACTTGCTTTCCTGTACCGAATGTATAGGAAGTGTCATAGGCGCTGGATGCAGCAGGAAATACATCGGCAAAACCTGCGCTCTTCCATTTTTCGTCGCGGCCGCCGTGATGCAAAAAGCGAGGACATCGTATGACGATGCAACATAATCTACGGCATCAGTGAAGTAAAAATGTGAAAAAAAAAAATAGTGATGTGCGGGTAAAATAAAAGTGAAATAATTACGTCAAAAAAAAAAGGAAGTGAAAGTGCAGTGCAGATAAGTGCGTATTAAATAATTCTTACTTGCAAATCGGGTAGGACTACTGACTATATTCCTCTCTAGTGGACGCTAAGTTATAAAAAACTAATTTAGTGGACTCTAAGATATAAAAACCAAATGTAATAATAATATAATGTGTGTGTTATGATCTGTAAGTTTTATACTCCATGTGACAGCAATGCTTGGTAAGTTATGATTTTACAATTAAAGGAATTGTATGATAAACTGAAAATTATAAAGACTTATTTGATTAAAATTGGTCCTAAAAGGCGTCAAGGACAAATTGTTATTAATAAGTTAGAGGAGGCAAAAATATTTTATAGCGAGTATTCGTTACTTATAATGAATTAAACAAAGCTATAAAGGAAGGAAGATTATCTACCCAGGACACCGATTTAGTTATCAAATTGTCCTCCGATTTTCAGTCCTTGTATACTGACATAGAGTTTCTATGTACAAAAAATAAATCTAGTGATTTTAAAGATATTTTTTCTGATATGACCGAAACTAATGTAAACATGGCGGAAACATTCAATTTAAAAACTGCTTTGTCCTTACTTGCTCAATGAATGACGATGAATTTAATACTAAACAACTGATTGATAACATTGAATACTATGCGTCTGTATTGGAAAAGGATGAATGTAAGCATAAATTGATTCAGTTTGTATTAAAAAGCAGATTGTCACAAGGTGCAAAATTGAAACTAAAGTGTAGTTATTCAACTGTAACTGATTTGATCAATGATATGCGGAAAGAGCTTTTGCCCCAAAAATCAGCCCCTGCCATACAAGATAAATTGCAAAAATGTAGACAAAATAATTTAAATATTCAGGATTATGGTAAGGAAATTACCGAGATGTTTGTGGAGCTGACGATTGCGCAATCCAATGGAAATTCAGATTGTTACAACATTTTAAAACCTCTAAACGAAAAGTATGCCATTAAAAAATTCGCCGATGGGTTGCGTAATCGCAGGCTTAGTACTGTCATTACATCCAGGAATTACACCTCGTTGAAAGACGCAATCCAGGCTGCAATGGAGGAGGATATCGGGTCTGCTTCCACAGCTGGTGAAGTCTTAGGTATGTCCCATCAAAATTATAATAAACCTACCAGTCATAATTTTTCTTCCCCTAGAAGGCAAAATTACCATCGTGGAGGTCAGCACTTTAATAGCAGAGTGTTTTCGCAGCGAACTAATTATAATCCTAATTTTAGAGGTCAAAATCAAGTCCCTATGTCTGTTTCTCGACCAGTACGAAGACCCTGGCAGAATAGAGGTATGTATAATAATAATAACCGTCGTGGAAATAGGTGGATTCGCAATCAACATATGCGCGTAATAACTGAAACGGAAAATAATAGCGATGTTGCGGAAAATAAGTTTTTTCGAGGCTAATAATTTTATCTTAACTACTAGTAGTAATTGTTGCATCAGATTATCTCTAAACAACGTGATTCATTCTTGGTTACTTGATACGGGCGCTACCATTTCGGCTCTTAAATATAAACATGCACTCGAGCATAATCTTCCAATCCATAATGAGAAGATTATTATAAATGGAATTGGTGGCAAAGTCCATGCAATTGGATACACCTATCTACAATTACGAAGTGATGATAAATTATTTAGGCACAAATTTTATGTTTTTGATTCGCTACCATGTAAGGCAAGCGGTATCATCGGCCAAGATTTTTTAAACACGTATAGTGCGATTATTGATTTAAAGAACGATTATTTAACATTAGTAGTAGGAAATAACATAAAATGTAATTTGCGTATACAACGTAATGATAAATACATCTGGAATGTAGCCCCCAGATGTGAATCAATTCATTATATTAAAACTAATTATACTGAAGAATGCGTAGTAATTTGTAAGGAATTATGCGAAGGTCTTTATTTAGCTAGTTCTATAGTCAAACCTTTAAATGGTTTAATACCAATAAGAATACTAAATACTACCGAAAATACGTTAACATTAGAAAATATTGAACCAGAAGTTCACAAACTAAGCGATTACTCGATATGTACATTCAATAAGCCTAATAGCAACGCAAATAGGGTAAAGCAATTATTTTCTTTATTGAAATTGGGACACTTAAATGAGGAGGAACAAATTTCTATTGAGAACTTATGTGCTAAATATTCGGATATATTTTATTTACAAGGTGATAAGTTGTCAACCACGGATATTTATGAACACACTATTACTTTAAAACAAAACGTTAGTCCGGTATTTACGAAACCATATCGTTTACCTCACTCACAAAAACAAGAAATTAAGTCTCAAATTGACAAATTACTACAAGAAAATATAATAGAAAAATGCAATAGCAGTTGGTCAAGTCCATTACTCTTAGTACCGAAAAAGTCCGATGATAGTGGTAAAAAGAAATTAAGATTAGTGATAGATTACCGGAAATTGAATAATTTAATCGAAGATGACAAATTTCCACTACCTAATATGTCTGAAATATTAGACGCATTGGCAGGTAGTGTATATTTCAGTCATTTAGATTTATATAATGGGTTTTATAATGTTAAATTACATAAAGACAGTAGAAAATACACCGCATTTGACTCGGGACAATACCAAATGGTGAGGATGCCTATGGGACTGAAAACAAGTCCCGGATCGTTCTCACGCATGATGAATATGGCCATGTCGGGTCTTACCTACGAAAAATGTTTTGTTTACATGGATGATCTAATTATTTATGGTTTTTCATTAGATAACCACAACAAAAACTTACAAGATGTTTTTGAACGTCTTCGTAAGGTGAACTTGAAATTGAACCCGCAGAAATGCGATTTTCTAAAGAAACAGATATTATATTTAGGACATGTAGTCTCTGATAAAGGAATACTACCGGATCCGTCAAAAATTGAAGTAGTTAGAAATTACCCACAGCCCAAAACTACCGATGAGGTCAAGAGATTTACAGCCTTTGTAAATTATTATAGGAAGTTTGTTCCAAATTTTGCCGAGAAAGCTAGCCCATTAAATAGATTATGTAAGAAAAATATTCGTTTTAAGTGGGACGATCAATGTCAAAAAGCATTTGAAACTCTAAAAGAAAGTATTACTTCACCACCTGTCTTAGCTTACCCGGATTTTTCCCCAAATAATCAGTTTATAATTCAAACAGACGCGTCAAACCACGCGATCGGTGCCGTGATGATGAATAAAAATATGAGACCCGTTGCGTTTGCCAGTAGGAGTCTAAATAAAGCGGAGAAAAATTATCCAACTATAGAAAAGGAACTTTTGGCAATTGTTTGGGCGGTCAAACACTTTCGACCCTATTTATACGGTAAAGAATTCAAAATTCAAACTGATCATAGGCCTCTAGTTTATTTGTTTAATATGAGGGATCCGTCGAGCCGGCTGATGAAGTTTCGGCTATTATTAGAAGAATACAACTTTAGTATCGAGTATGTAAAAGGTACAGATAATGCAGCTGCAGATGCTTTGTCTCGTATCAACATACAAGATTTAAAGGAAATGTCTAATAAAATAATAAATGTCATGACAAGAGCGCAAAAGAGAAAGATAGCGCAAACTATGCCAGATCCTTCGGCTAATATCGACTTTACCGACGATTGGTCTGATCAACCAAAAGTCGTAGAGGCGCATATTAAACCTAAGGACCACATAGAATTAGTATTTATTGAAAAAAGGAAATTAAACTCAATAAAACAATTAAATGACGTACGTTTTGAAACTAAAACATTTTGTTATGTTCCTGATAGGAACTCAATTTATATTAAATATATGGATTCTCAATCGCAAATTACCCCAGCGGAATTTGTGAGAGAACTTGATGAAGCATGCTTAAAAAATGGAATTAATGAACTATATTTTGTAATGACTAAAAGAAATAATGTTTTCGTGGAAAAATTATTAAATGAAGTAAAAATATACGGAAGTGCTACTATGCCTAGGTTATGTATATTAAAGGACATTATTAGAATAGAAAATAAAGATGATCAAAAGGTAATATTGAATGACTTCCATCTCCTGCCCACAAGTGGCCACGCGGGTATGAGACGGATGTTATCTAATATTAAAAAATATTATTTTTGGCCAGGATTAGAAAAAGATGTGATTAATTTTGTAAAACGCTGTGACAAATGCCAGCGACATAAGTATTCGACATACGTAAAAGAGCCTATGGTAATAACGTCAACCGCAAACACTGCCTTTGAAAAAATATATTTGGATATCGTTGGTCCATTAGAGCGAGATAATAATAATTATTCATATATTTTGACTCTACAGTGCGAACTTTCAAAATACGTTGAAGCTTATCCACTTATTTCTAAAAGCACAACAGAGGTAGCTAGAACTCTAGTAAATAATTTTATATTGCGATATGGAATTCCGAAGGAGATCGCAACCGATAGAGGAGCAGAATTCATGTCTTCAACCATGAATGAGGTATGTAAACTTTTACACATTACAAAAACTAATTCTACCGCCTATCACCACCAGTCAATAGGTGCATTAGAAAATTCGCATAAACACCTTGGTTCCTTCCTCAGAATTCAATGTGATAACCATCCCGAAATGTGGAGTCAATGGCTTCCATTTTGGTGCTTTTCCTTCAACACGTCCGTGCATAGTGAAACAAAATTTACACCGTATGAGCTTGTTTTTGGGAAGAAATGCTCTCTCCCTAGTAATTTGTTAAGTAATATAATAGATCCCCTATACACTTTTGATAACTACCCTTTAGAACTCAAGTTTCGTTTGCAATTGGCACAAAAGGAGGCTAGAGAAAATTTACTATCTAGTAAAATTAAAAGAAAAGAAATATACGATAAAAATATGAATCCAGTTGTGTATAAACCAAATGATCTGATTCTTGTTAAAAATGAGGTTGGAAACAAATTAAATTGTATTTATTCTGGACCATATGTTGTGATAAAAGATATGTTACCGAATGTTGAAATTATGCGAAATAATAAGCCTGATGTTATACACAAAAACCGAACTAAATTGTATCACTCTAGTTAAGTAATCATAATTATCATGTATTGTACGTTATCTATGGTATGCAAGAAAAATGCTAATATAATAAGCATTTTCCTTTTTTTTCAGGGGGGAGGTGTAGTGTCCCCTCTATTATCATAATCTTTGTATCCTAATAGTGTATAAGTTAATTATATTTCATTAATAAAACACAGTATATTCTCAGCAGTCATTCGTTTCACTTCGTTCCCTTACGCCTACCGTACAACGTAACTAGTAATTCATTTAAAACTGTCCCATAATATCCCCATCACAATTAGTTTGATATTGGACAGTCCCGCTCCCCCTCCCCCCCCAGTATACGTACCCCTAATGACAGATAGTTCGATGGCAGCGCGCAGCTCGTCCTCGTCCGCGCGACTGCGGAGACATGACATACCCTGGGGACATACATAATGAAATTATAATCCATAATACATATTGTTAAATGAGTAAAAACAATGGGGATGATGACAGGGTATGAAAATTAAAAATCTATTTAGTCCGTAAGTTAGGTAATGAAAAAATATTAGACACGTATTTGTCGTATAATAAAACAATACTTAGATAAAACGAATCAAAGTTTAGGAGTGGGGGCTAAAACGTCATTTCTACATATAAAATGTACATAGAAGTGACGTCACGCGACATTTCAATCAATATATCTTTGAAAGTATTCGTTTCCTTAAGAAAATAAAAAATACGTGTGTAATGATTTTAAATAATCTACCAGACGGACATTGAAATAATAATTAGTCGTCTACCCTATTGGGTACTTATCAACTAGTCGAATTCAATACTTTCTTTTGAATTGTCCGAAACGACAGTTTTCTATGAATTTTGTACGAGATTGTGTATTGTGACGTCACGTTATTTTAGAGTCAAACAGCATATTTATTTCTTATAAAATTTGCTGGAAAAATACTAAAACTAAGTTGATCATAAAATCAATTAAACTGTCAAACACCAAGCGGTCACCGGTGACCGCGACCTATTGTTCTTTAATTGTGTCTATAAAACCGGTACTCGACGAGTTAATGAAAATGTAATTATTTTTTTAATATTGTATTGTATTCAACAGTCGAAATAATTTATTATTGATTAAGGCAAGTACCCAATCGTTACTTCGAAAATGTTCGACTAGTATTGAGTTATCACGGAGTATTTAATAAGCTGTGTATGCAGTTCTAAGAATATCTAGACACCACTGACAAACGGTGAAGGAAAACATCGTGAGGAAATCTGGACTTATAATTTTTAATTATAAGTTTGTAATCGTTAACCAGCATTGAGCAAGCATTGTGATTAGTGCTTAAAACTTCTCCGTGTGATAATAGGGTTTTGGTCAGCAGTGGGTACTTATAGGCTGTTGATGTGATGATGATGACGATTATGATGTAGTTATATTGCATAGCTAAGTGAAGGCCCTCAGTTAAGTGGATATTTGATGAGTAAAATTAGTCGATGTTAGTACTATATGTTTCATTTTTAAAAAAAAGCTAAATTGAATAAAATAAGTGAGTAGTACAAAATTAAATAATGTAATACAACTGACCGGCGCATGTTCCCGAGAGTGTCGCGCATGCGCAGCCCCTGCGCGCGCTGCGCGGGATCCTGTACATACACAGACAGACAAAAATATAAGTCATTTTTATTCATTTTTCACAATTTCGTAATTGTACTCGTCCCCCCCCAATCCCCCACTCCTGTGGGGGATTGTCCAGTTCTTATTGATATCAGACAATGACATTTTTATATTGAACATAAGATAAAATGCAAGTGGAAAGAAGTATCGCAAAGAATTACGGTTGTATAGTTAATTTTAATAAAAAGCTAAGTAATGTAGGGGAGTGTAACTGACCAGGTCTAGGAGTATGCGTGGCTCCGTCTCCCAGGTCCAGCTGTAACACTCCGCCGCCGCTGTACTCTGTAATATAACGACAAACTTATAATAATAATAAAAACATCTGTCAGTCAGGCTGATAATGATGATCTGATACGGAGCCGCGGAGGACTTTAATGGGTTACCGGGGCTCCGACTCGAAGTTCAGGAGCATGAACGGGGTGGTTTTTAGTCAGTAAGAGTCTGATACTACCTCTTGCTTCAATCGGCGAAGCGTCACCGATTCATGGTAGATGTCCCACCCACACGCACGAAGCGCTTCGCATCAAGCTTCCTTGTACGTACTGCTAAGGAGTGGAATTCTTTGCCAGAGTCTGTGTTTCCTGAAGGGTAACCTGGGTGTCTTCAAGGTCCGAGTGAATAGTTTGCTTATGGGACGACGTGCTCCATCGTAGACCGCATCATTGCTTACCACCAGGCGAGATAGTGGGCAAAAATCGGACCAACAAATATACAAAAAAAAAACTCTCTCAACGGGGGAAATATTGGATAATTTCCCCCCTAAAAAGTAGATGCAGGTGGTTACCCCAAGGCGGTGCGTGTCGGAAGTAGTCCCTGGCAGTAAGCAGGTGCGTGTTGGCGTTGGGCGCCATCGCCACGTCCGGCACCATGGCCGACAGCCGCGCCCCCGCCGCCCCCGCGCCCGCGCCCCCCGCGCCCCCGCTCGCGCACCCCGACGTGCGACTGGAGCACGACGATAGAGATTGTCTGTGAAAAGAAATTTTGTTATGTTTAAACTATATTTCGTTTTCGTCCCGCGGAAAACGACTTGCCATAACGAGTACTCTCTTCATCTTCTATGAAGTAAAAAATAAATAAAGACGTCATCTTTATATCAGTTTTAAAAAAAAATCATCGAAATACATACGAAATATAAGTGTGGGAGAGCCATGCTTCAGCATGAATGGGCCGGCTAGACCGGAGTGATACCACGGTCTCACAGAAAACCGACGTGAAGCAACGCCTGCGTTGTGTTTCGTCGTGTGAGTGAGGTTACCAGAGGCCCAATTGCCCTCCCCTTCCCCAAACTTCCCAATCCCCAAAAGGCCGATAACGCACTTTTAACGCCTCTGGTGTTCCAGGTGTCCATGGGCAACGCTGATTGCTTACCATCAGGTGATCCGTCTGCTCGTTCACCGGCTTATGCCATAAAAAAAAATACACACAAGAAACACTAGACGTAAATAATCTACTAAAGAAGTGATATTTCAATATTTACCGATGCTGCGCAGTATCAGCGGATCTTGAAGCGCCCTCCCGCCTGCACGTCCCCGGCCGCGAGTTGTCTGTACATACAAACAACAAACAACATAAATACATATATGTAGGAGTCCGGTTCAAGTCTAATACCTTTAAACGAGCAATTCTTTTTTTTATATTAGAACCACAAAAACATTTACAATCTCGCTTCAATATTTAGTCCTAATGTTGTAATGCATCAAAATAATTAATACATAATATGCCGCTGCCTTCTATTGATAAGATATGTAAGCGGGTTAAAAATGTCATAAACAATAATTCCTTTCTATGTTTGTTTATGTTATTTTTTTATAATTTAAAATAAAGTCAGTCGTTACTTGTCACTTTCAAGCGTCGTTTCATTTTACCTTAACTAATACAATTTTAGTTAAGTCACCTAAAATATTAATGATTTACATAATGATGAAAATAAAGAAAAGAGAGCTACATAGATAGCCTAACTTGTATGTCAACATCATGTATGCATGCATGTATGATGTATATGCATCATGAATGCATACATATATGTTACTTTGAGTTGTGTGCGTGCGTCCAAGGTAGTGAAAGAGAGAGAGAGAGAGAGAGAGAGAGAGAGAAGAGAGAGAGAGAGAGAAGAGAGAGAGAGAGAGAGATATCTATCTGTGTGTGTGTAGGTGTATAACGATGTACGATCATCTAGGTACTGCACTTTGAAATAAAAGAATTGTGATGAGAGAAAGAATAATACTAGTGACTCACCGAGCGGTAGATGCAGCGCAGGCTGCGCGCGCAGACTGCCGGCCGACGCGCAGCGCGCCCCGCTCGCTCCCAGCGGCCTGCGCATAATAATAAAAATATAATAATAATAATAAAAATCGTTTGTTTGTAAAAACAGATTACGGAACCTATAAATTGTGATTGGAGCCTCCTTTTAAGCAAGATATGCCTGTGTTAGGAAAGTTCGCTCTTTCACAACAAGACATACATAGTTAATTTCTATAAATACAAATACAAATGCAAACATTGCTTATTCTAATTTAATGACTAAGTTTGAATTTAGTAAAAGTGTTAAGTTAACACGATACATACATGAAGGGTTTCATATGTGTTGAGAGACAAATGAAACGTGCGCTGTCTAAATCTAAATACCAACTGTTGTACATTAATTAAATCATAACATAACATCACGCCTTTTTATCCCCGAAGGGGTAGGCAGAGGTATACATTACGGCACTGAATGCCACTGTACAATGTAACACCCACTTTTCACTATTTATGTTATGAGTCCCATGTGATAGGGGGTGAGCCTATTGCCATATTCCGGGCACAATTTCAGACTCCGTGCTACTACTGAAGTCCCAGTATTACTTTGCCCGATCCGGGAATCGAACCCGAAACCCCTTGCCCGGCAGTCGCACTTGCGACCACTCGGCCAACGAGGCAGGCAACATTTATTAAATCATTTGATATATAGGCGATATCAATGTACTTATGCATCCCCACATACACATTGTTGGACATACAGCATCACTCAGCATCAGCCTATAAATGTCCACTGCTGAGCAATGCCTCTTCTCACACGGAGAAGGTTTGAGCATTAATCACCACGCTTGCTCAAAGCGGGAGCGACTTCAAACTTATAATAGAGTAGATGCCTAATATTTGAACACTTATTTTTTATTTTCTTACACAAACGAATACCTTCGACGATATATTGATTTGAAATGTCGCGTGACGTCACTTCTATGTGCGATCAAAGGTCAAAAGTCGACAGGCACTATTCGCATCGACCGTGCCACTCGACGAGAAATACCTCGTCGAGAATGACACGGCGTGATGTTTTGATAATGTACTGTGAGTTCGTATGCGCTTCCGAAGTTCGAAGTCATGCAATGGTTCACCAGTTATTTTGTCTTTGTAAAACTATTGTATTACTGAGACAGAACCATTTTATTTAGGGACGAAAAGAGATAGATTTCACGGTATATATTTAAAAGGATTGAAATCTCTTATTAATATTGGCTTTAAGCAAATAGCTTCACTTTTAATTTTTTTTTGTTGACGTTCAAAAGTGCCATTCTGGCCTAATTGAAATAAATGATTTTGACTTTGACTTTAAGAGATTCAGGTTGATCAGGGAGGACTGTTTGCTTATAGCTATCTGTTTGTGTGGGTGTAATATACCCACGGAAAGAGCGGCGGTGGTAAATGTGTCTAGAAGGAAATGTTACCTGCAGCAGTCGAGGTTGGGTTGGTCGTCAGGCCACCGCTCGGTGTCAGGTTCGACGTCCCGCTGTCTGCCCCGCTCGCTGCCGCCCTCGTTGGCAGACTCCCAGTCTTCTGTCTCTCTCTCCCTATAATATAAACAAAACGTAATTCAATAATATTAACTAAATACTGCCTCGTTGGCCAGTGTGACTGCCAGACAAGGCTTAAATATTTTGTTGTGACGTTCAAAAGTGCCTTCCTGGTCTAATTGAAATAAATGATTTTGACTTTGACTTTGACTTTGAAAAGGGGTCTACAGTTCGATTCCCTAATGCAAATTGCGGCACTTATCACTGTACAATGTAACACCCACTTTTCGCTATTTATGTTATGAGTCTGAGTGAGCTTATTGCCGTATAACCGACATAAATCCAGACTCCGTGCTACTACTGGGAATTTTTCAAAAACCTTAGTAATACTTTTTGTTCGACGCGGGAATCGAAGGTGTAAGTGTGGGAGAGCCACGCTTCGGCCCGAACGGGCCGGGCCTCCACCGGAATGATACCACGACCTAGCATAAAACCGACGTGAAGCAACGCTTGCGTTGTGTGAGTGAGGTTACCAGAGGCCCAATTACCGCCACCCCTCCCCAGTCTCCCCACAATCCTCAAATTTCAAATTCCCAATCCCCACAAAAGGCCGGTAACGCACTTGTAACGCCTCTGGTGTTCCAGGTGTTCATGGGTGACGCCGATTGCTTACCATCAGGTGATCCGTCTGCTCGTTTACCGGCTTATACCATGAAAAACCTGGAGCTCTTTCTATTACATTAGTAGCACAATGGACGCGCATAACTGGACTGTATTTATACATGCCTGTCGTTATCCATTTCAGCTAGCAGCAGATCTGCGCATGCGTCAGGCAGCGACATCTCACGGACTGCGCGCAATGCGATCTATGGACAAACATAACAAAATTTCGTTAATTCAAGTGTGGGAGAGCCATGCTTCGGCACTGCTGGGCCGGCTCGACCGGAGTGATACCACCAACGAGCAGAAAACCGTAATGAAACAACGCTTGCGTAGTTTGAGTGAGGTCATTGGAGGTCCAATTGCCCCCTCCCCAGTCTCCCCAATAGGGTAGATGCCTAGTTTTTATTTCAATGTCCGTCTGGTACATTATTTTAAACCATTAGACACGTATTTTTTATTTTCTTACAGCAACGAATACTTTCGACGATACATTGATTTGAAATGTCGCGTGACGTCACTTCTATGTACATTTTATACATAGAAATGACGTTTTAGCCCCCACTCCTAAACTTTGATTCGTTTTATCTAAGTATAGTTTTATTATACGACAAAATAAAAAAATACGTTTCTAATATTTTTTCATTACCTAACTTACGGACTAATTAGACTTAATTTTCATACACTGTCATCATCGCAATTCCCAACAACCCTCAAAGAGCGGTAACGCACTTGTAACACCTCTGATGTTCCGTGTGTCCATGAGCGACACCGATTGCTTACCATCAGGTGATCCGTCAGTTTATTTATCGGCTTATTCAATAAAGAAATAAATCCTATTGTATTAAATTTGCTTCAGTACGGGTCAAATCAGCCTTTAAGAGCTCACTAATGAGCAAACACCTACATTTGACCCTATTGCAGTAGCAGCCAGCTACCTGCGTCACTTGTGCATGTGGTATTTACGTGGCGTTTTAACCAAAGGCATCTTCTAACACGGAGAAGGTTTGAGCATTAATCACCACGCTCGCTCAATGCGGGTTAGCAATTTAAACTTATAATTAGAAATTATAAGCCTAGGTTTCCTCGAGATGTTTACTTTCACCGTTTGTCAGTGGTGTCTAGATAATCTTAGAAAATACATGTAACTTGGAATGGAAAAGTCATATTGGTCCTTGGCGTTGGTAGGTTTCGAGCCCGCACCCTCATGTATGAGAAGCGGGCGTCTTAAACCTCCGGGCTACCAAGGCTCTATTGATATGCAGACAGTTAAATAGGACCAGGTATCGACAGGGACCGTAACTTTCCCACGGAGCCGCGTGTCTACGTGCGCGCGCACACGCGATACGAGATATTTCTGTGGAAGAAGATGGCTCGACCAGATCTTTTTACAATACGATGCCGTATTCAATTTAGCCATATTGTACGACCAACGTATATATTTGTATCTATAGTTTTTATTATCACTTAAGTAATTAAATGTTGGTTAACCTGTAATTGGCGACTGTATAAGCCTAAATACTTAATGTTAATTTCATATTACTTAATGCTATGTATACAGAAGCTGTCGTATTACCTATTAAAATAAATAAATAAACGTATACAACATGAGTCCATTGCATTTTTTTTAATAGGGGGAAATCCTCATGGACTGCCTCCGCCTGGGGAAAGGCGGAGAGGTGTGCCGGACTCTTACCGGCTAAAACCACCCCAGTGTCTCCTCGCACGTGGTACATTGCAGCTGACCCAACTTTGTAGAAGATGGCGAAGAAGATATTTGGGTTTTACTTTAGCACAGTATTAATACACACGTTTACCGAAGATGAAATCACATGAAATGATAATTGGAAGACTACAATTGGGTACTTTCTTTGATCAAAAATAAAATGATTTCGACTGTTCAATACAATAAAATATTAAAAAATAATCACATTTTCATTCATTGAGTTTTTGACCAACTTCATTTTAGTATTTTTACATTAAATTTTTAAGCAAATAGTATGCTGTTTGACTCTAAAAAATACCTTATAAATATAATAATTAAGTGTTAATAGACGAGAGATATAATTATAACATTATCTTATGAGAAAAATATATGACATCTTAGTTGTAGCGTAAGAAATGTTTAATTATCATCAACATCCTATAAGTACCCACTGCTGAGCAAAGCTTCTCACACGGAGAAGGTTTGAGCATTAATCACCACGCTTGCTTAATGCGGGTTGGCGATTACAGACTTATAATTAGAAATTATAAGGCCAGGTTTCCTCACGATGTTCTTCTTCACCGTTTGTGAGTGGTGTCTGAATTGAATAATCTTCTCAAGTCCATGTAACTCGGAAAAAGTCTCAACGGTACTTGCTGTTGTTAGGTTTCCAGGTCGCACCCTCATGCATGAGAAGCGGGCGTCTTAACCTCCGGGCCACCACAACACATTATGATAATGTTTAATAAACTTTATTAATTGTAACATTTAACTTTATATTCCATATACTTAATTAATATTCCTTAAAATTACATTTTTAAATACCACTTACAAAAAATATAAAAACAGGAGCCGACCAGTAGCGGGAGCATGGTCCAAGCTACCGATGGTTAGGGCTCCAGAGACAGAAACCTCCTCACGATACGTGCTGTTTCTAGGAGAACTGCCTTCTGTATCAGGCCCTTGATCCATCCACCTAACGCCAGCCTCCTGAGATGGATGTCGAGGCTTTTAGGGATTAACCCATTGGCTGACACGACTATCGGCACAATGATAGCCGAATCCACATTCCACATGTCGACAACCTCGTGAGCTAAGTCTAGATATTTTATTTGTTTATCTTTCTCAGCTTTCACGAGGTTCTGGTCATGGGGAATGGTGACATCGATTATCATCGTACACTGGAGACCGGGAGAGTCATGCGTCGTCTACGATAGCAGAAGGAGTCTGTATTTAAGAGCAATAATCATGACAGTGGATACAGAAAACAGCACGTGTACTGTTGGGTACATTGATTACGGCAACATAAACGAACATGCCTTTGAGGACCTACGGAAAGGCACGCCGACGCGGCACATACCTGCCCTAGCTCAGGCATGTTCGTTTTATAACTTAAGCCCCGAGGGAGGCACTTGGACTGATGAAGCCATGGACTATATGAATGAACATACCTTAGGCCGAGTATGGGACTTACGCATATGTGGTTTGGTATTCACCGGTAATTCTATTAATTTCTTAATTGATTTGGTAGATGCTACACCGTGGGCAAGCTATAACCAGCCGAGAGATTTAGTTGATCATATTTACTGCGCATCCTACCTCCGTCACCAGGGCACGGTCTATCGCCCTAATCGTCCATATTTGTAGGGAGTAAGTCATGTACCGTCGTGGTGGCCCGGAGGTTTATGACGCCCGCATCTCATGCATGTTCAAAACCTACCAACGGCAAGTACCCAATTGTTGTTCCTGGTCTGGGTGTCATGCTTATGTGATATTGTATGTTTGTAAACGGACTCACGACACAAGAGGAAATCCTAGTGTGGGGCAAGATTTATTAAAAAGAAAAGAAAGAGAGAAAATTCTATACCGATTTCAGTCAGTCAACTGACTGGATTAATTAAAGTCGCGGGTTATACGCGGTAGCCGGGACCGCGCACGCTGGTCATGAGAAAGAACCCCTCTGTACAATAATTTTAATTTAGTATGTCTCACGATAGTTACTATAAAAAGTTAGTCAACTGTTATTGTTAATGTATTCAGTATGTCTTGTATGATTGTGTCATGTATAAAGAAATGATTGTAAAAATATATGTTAAGTATACTTTGTAACAATTAGTTGATAAGTTAAATAAAAATCAAAAACTATAATTTTATGTTTTAATGTTGACCTAGATTTCCTCTGTACCAGTTACTAGCACCTAACTCTCTCATCACATACATCGCGACTTCATGACCACACATTGTATATGCCTAACTTCTGGGCGAGGTTTTTGTCGATACTGTGGCCAATATTGTATAATTATAACTTCTGCGCGAGGTTTTTGTCGATACTCTGGCCAATATTGCATAATTATAACTTCTGGGCGAGGTTTTTGTCGCTACTGTGTCCAATATTGTATAATTAAAACTTCTGCGCGAGTTTTTGTTAGTTTTTGTATCATTTTAAGTGTGGAAGAGCCATGCTACAGCACTGCTGGGCCGTCTCGACCGGAGTGATACCACCAACGAGCAGAAAACCGACGTGAAACAACCACAGCGTTGTATTTCGTCGTGTGCCGTTAACGGAGGCCCACTTATCTAACGCTATGTTACCGCATATTTCCCGGTCTCGTGAGATTTCTGTGATGAAAACTATCTTACGCACGTTCCCAGATCTCAAACTATCGTTATACTGAATTTCCCTCATATAGTTTCAGTGGTTGATGAGATAAAGTCCCGGGATTTAACTCGTCGAGTACCGTATTTATAGACACAATTAAAGAACAATAGGTTGCGGTCACCGGTGACCGCTTGGTGTTTGACAGTTTAATGCATTGTTCCTGTCTCTGTAGGATTACCGGATTCACAGAAACCTCCTCACGATACGTGCCGTTTCAAGGCAAATTGCCTTCTGTATCAGGCCCTTGACCCTTCCACCTAACACCAGCCTTCTGAAATGAATGTCGAGGCTTTTAGGGTTTTAACCTATTGGTATCATTATGATAGCTAAATCCACACTTCACATGTCGACAACCTCGTGAGCTAAGTCTAGTTATTTTATTTGTTTATCTTTCTCAACTTTCTCGAGGTGCTCGTCTTGGGGGATGGTGACATCGATTATCATCGTACGGCATTTAAGTCTATTATTATTATAACATTTAACCTTGCACGCCAAAAGCAGTAGGCGATGTATGCGGGACTATTCTTTATAATTACTATCAAACTACGTGTAGATAAATGTTCTTATTTTTAAACCTTCAATACAACAGATCCTTTTGTTTAACAAAAAGACTAACCTTTGATCTTTAAATGGTCAAAATGGTTCTACCCATCCCTCTGTTCTACAAGACATTATTGTTCTATAAACAAAAGATTCGGATGATGTCTTAACGACCACCCCATTCAAAATGTTATTTTAATACAAGTAGCGTGGTATTATGGTATTTTTTCATTGTGTAGAGAGTGCACTTAGATAAGCTGAAAGCAGTCAGTCGGTCAGTCAGTTCCTGAGGCGCTTCCAAGGTGGACGTAACCAGAATCACTCTTTCCTACCAAACTGCGAGGAGAACAACATATTTCGGTAAGTCGTTATATTATCTATTAGCTTCTGCCTCTGTTCCAAATTTCATCCCAGTGCCAAAGTACCCAGTGTTGTACCCAGGATATTAAAGTATAATCATACCAAGTTTGATTCAAATCGGACCGGTGGTTTTTGCGTAATGCGTGAACATACATACAGACAGACAGACAGACAAAAATTGTCTATCTAGTAACACCCCCCAACTACATAATTTCAATATTTACATTAGAAATATTACCTACATGATTAAACTAAAATTAATATTACCTTACACACCTTATATACCTTAAAATTACCTTAATTAAATGTAATTTTGTAATTATGTATTTAATGATAATATATAAGTAATCGCGTCATTATAAATAATATTTAATGACACATTTGTGTATAAAAGAAATGAAAGACTAATTATAGTAAGTAAAGAGCAATATAAGCCCAGTCTAACACGGTGAATATATCATAATTATAAACTTTAACATCATCATCATACCATAACGCATTTTATAGCCGAAGGAGTAGGCAGAGGTGAATAATACGACACTTAATGCCATTGAACAATGTAACACTTACTTTTCGCTATTTACGTTATGAGTACCAAGTAATAGGGGGTGAGCCTATTGCCATATACCGGGCACAATTTCAGACTTCGAGATTTTTTTAAAACCCAGTAATATTTTGCCCGACCTGGGAATCGAGACCCCTTGCCCGACAGTCGCACTCGCGACCACTCGGCCAATGAGACAGTATACATTTTAATAAGTATTTTTCTTGCAGAAATGATATTGGAGAGAATTCACTTATTTGAGGACGCGGAGGTCGAGGATCAATTCCCGCTGCAAGATATTGGCATACTGGAAGATGTAAGTAACAATTACAATTTTAATATTTCATCTATAATTATTTTTATGTGTCATGGTGGCTGGGGGTTAAGCCGCCCACTTCTCATGTCCGAGGATATAACAATGTGATTTTTTCCGACTTTATATGTACTTTCTAGGATTATTTAGATACCACTGACAAACGGTGAAGGAAAATGAAACTGTTTTAGACTATTATTGTATAGAAATGTCGAAATAATGTTTTAATTGCATCTTATTTGTTTGCATCCAGGATTTCACTGAAGAAGAAAATTCAGAAGACGAACAAGAGTTTTATGATGCGTATGAAGTTATGTCGGCCATGGTGCGGGAAGGTGGCAACAGTGGTGAACAAGATCCCAGTTCTTCCACCAATAACTGGCTGCCACCAGAACCTCCCGAAGGCCACAGGTTTATTGGAATCACCACGTAAGTTTTTTTTATCGGATAAGCCTGTAAACGAGCTGACGGATCACCGGATGGTAAGCAATCGGATCACCTGGTGGTCTCATGTAATAGGGGGTTAGCCTATTGCCATATACCGGACACAATTCCAGACTCCGTGATACCACTAAGATTTTATTTTTAAACCCAGTAATATTTACCGGTAGTCGCACTTGCGACCACTCGGCCAACGATGCAGTCAATATAGTATATTTTTATGCATTAAGTACTTGTTTAATAATATTTATTTATTTTCTCCAGGTGTGTGGATCGGGACGGCACAATTTACGTGCGCGATGTAGCGCAGGAACAACAGCTGATACCCATAACTCTAATACTCGCCGACTATTACAAGGACTACTCACCGAACGCAACAATAACTGACTGGACACCGGGAGAGTCATGCGTCGTCTACGATAGCAGAAGGAGTCTCTATTTAAGATCAATAATCATGGCAGTGGATACAGAAAACAGCACGTGTACTGTTGGGTACATTGATTACGGCAACATAAACGAACATGCCTTTGAGGACCTACGGAAAGGCACGCCGACGCGGCACATACCTGCCCTAGCTCAGGCATGTTCGTTTTATAACTTAAGGCCCGAGGGAGGCACTTGGACTGATGAAGCCATGGACTATATGAATGAACATACCTTAGGCCGAGTATGGGACTTACGCATATGTGGTTTGGTATTCACAGGTAATTCTATTAATTTCTTAATTGATTTGGTAGATGCTACACCGTGGGCAAGCTATAACCAGCCGAGAGATTTAGTTGATCATATTTACTGCGCATCCTACCTCCGTCACCAGGGCACGGTCTATCGCCCTAATCGTCCATATTTGTAGGGAGTAAGTCATGTACCGTCGTGGTGGCCCGGAGGTTTATGACGCCCGCATCTCACGCATGTTCAAAACCTACCAACGGCAAGTACCCAATTGTTGTTCCTGGTCTGGGTGTCATGCTTATGTGATATTGTATGTTTGTAAACGGACTCACGACACAAGAGGAAATCCTAGTGTGGGGCAAGATTTATTAAAAAGAAGAGAAAGAGAGAAAATTCTATACCGGTTTCAGTCAGTCAACTGACTGGGTTAACTAAAAGTCGCGGGTTATACGCGGTAGCCGCGACCGCGCACGCTGGTCATGAGGAAGAACCCCTCTGTAGTTCCAAACTAGTAGAACTTTTCTCAGTAAATTCACGTGAGTAACCCGCGAGTTTTAGTTAATTTAGTGTCTCACGATAGTTACTATAAAAAGTTTGTCAACTGTTATTGTTAATGTATTCAGTATGTCTTGTATGATTGTGTCATGTATAAAGAAATGATTGTAAAAATATATGTTAAGTATACTTTGTAACAATTAGTTGATAAGTTGAATAAAAAGCAAAAACTATAATTTTATGTTTTAATGTTGACCTAGATTTCCTCTGTACCAGTTACTAGCACCTAACTCTCTCATCATATACATCGCGACTTCATGTCCACACATTGTATATGCCTAACTTCTGGGCGAGGTTTTTGTCGATACTGTGGCCAATATTGTATAATTATAACTTCTGCGCGAGGTTTTTGTCGATACTCTGGCCACTATTGTATAATTATAACTTCTGGGCGAGGTTTTTGTCGATACTGTGGCCAATATTGTATTATTATAACTTCTGCGCGAGGTTTTTTGTTAGTTTTTGTATCATTTTAAGTGTGGAAGAGCCATGCTACGACACTGCTAGGCCGTCTCGACCGGAGTGATACCACCAACGAGCAGAAATCCGACGTGAAACAACCACAGCGTTGTATTTCGTCGTGTGAGTAAGGTTACCGGAGGCCCACTTATCTAACGCTATGTTACCGCATAGTTCCCGGTCTCGTGAGATTTCTGTGATGAAAACTATCTTACGCACGTTCCCAGATCTCAAACTATCGTTATACTGAATTTCCCTCATATAGTTTCAGTGGTTGATGAGATAAAGTCCCGGGATTTAACTCGTCGAGTACCGTATTTATAGACACAATTAAAGAACAATAGGTTGCGGTCACCGGTGACCGCATGGTGTTTGACAGTTTAATGCATTGTTCCTGTCTCTATAGGATTACCGGATACAGAAACCTCACAGAAACCTCCTCACGATACGTGCCGTTTCAAGGAAAACTGCCTTCTGTATCAGGCCCTTTATCTTTTCACGTGACGCCAGCCGCCTGAGATAAATGTCGAGGCTTTTAGGGTTTTAACCTATTGGTATCATTATGATAGCTGAATCCACACTTCACATGTCGACAACCTCGTGAGCTAAGTCTAGTTATTTAATTTGTTTATCTTTCTCAACTTTCTCGAGGTGCTCGTCTTGGGGGTTGGTGACATCGATTATCATCGTACGGCATTTAAGTCTATTATTATTATAACATTTAACTTTGCACGCCAAAAGCAGTAGGCGATGTATGCGGGACTATTCTTTATAATTACTATGAAACTACGTGTAGATAAATGTTCTTATTTTTAAACCTTCAATACAACAGACCCTTTTGTTTAACAAAAAGACTAACCTTTGATCTTTAAATGGTCAAAATGGTTCTACCCATCCCTCTGTTCTACAAGACATTATTGTTCTATAAACAAAAGATTCGGATGATGCCTTAACGACCACCCCATTCAAAATGTTATTTTAATACAAGTAGCGTGGTATTATGGTATTTTTTCATTGTGTAGAGAGTGCACTTACATAAGCTGAAAGCAGTCAGTAGGTCAGTCAGTTCGTGAGTCGCTTCCAAGGTGGACGTAACCAGAATCACTCTTTCCTACCAAACTGCGAGGAGAACAACATATTTCGGTAAGTCGTTATATTATCTATTAGTTTCTGCCTCTGTTCCAAATTTCCTCCCAGTGCCAAGGTACCTAGTGTTGTGCTTAAGGTATTTAAGTATAATCATACCAAGTTTGATTCAAATCGGACCGGTGGTTTTTGCGTAACGCGTGAACATACATACAGACAGACCGACAGACAAAAATTGTCTATCTAGTAACACTGTTTCTTTTAATACTTTAAATTACATTAGTAAATGAAATATAATTACATAAACTACATAATTTCAATATTAACATTAGAAATATTACCTATATGATTAAACTAAAATTAATATTATGAATATAAATAATTAAAATCTAAAATCATGACACCTTAAAATTACCTTAATTAAATGTAATTTTGTAATTATGTATTTAATGATAATTTATTAGTAATCGCGTCATTGTAAATAATATTTAATGACACATTTGTGTATAAAAGAAATGAAAGACTAATTATAGTAAGTAAAGAGCAATATAGGCCCAGTCTAACAAGGTGAATATATCACAAGTATAAAGTTTGATAGCATCATACCATAACGCCTTTTATCGCCGAAGGAGTAGGCAGAGGTGAATATTACGACACTTAATGCCACTGTACAATGTATCACCCACTATTCACTATTTATGTTATGAGTCCAATGTAATAGGGGGTGAGCCTATTGCCATATACCGGGCACAATTTCAGACTTCGAGATTTTTTTAAAACCCAGTAATATTTTGCTCGACCTGGGAATCGAGACCCCTTGCCCAATGAGACAGTATACATTTTAATAAGTATTTTTCTTGCAGAAATGATATTGGAGAGAATTCACTTATTTGAGGATGCGGAGGTCGATAATCAATTGCCGCTGGAAGATATTGGCATACTGGAAGATGTAAGTAACAATTACATTTTAATATTTCATCTATAATTATTTTTATGTGACATGGTGGCTGGGGGTTAAGACGCCCACTTCTCATGTCCGAGGATTCGAAACCTGATAATAACAATGTGATTTTTTCCGAGTTATATGTACTTTCTAGGATTATTTAGACACTACTGACAAACGGTGAAGGATAATGAAACTGTTTTAGACTATTATTGTATAGAAATGTCGAAATAATGTTTTAATTGCATCTTATTTGTTTGCATCCAGGATTTCACTACTGAAGAAGAAAATTCAGAAGACGAACAAGAGTTTTATGATGCGTATGAAGTTATGTCGGCCATGGTGCGGGAAGGTGGCAGCAATGGTGAACAAGATCCCAGTTCTTCCACCAATAACTGGCTGCCACCAGAACCTCCCGAGGGCCACAGGTTTATTGGAATCACCACGTAAGTATTTTTTATCGGATAAGCCTGTAAACGAGTTGACGGATCACCTGATGATAAGCAATCGGATAACCTATTGCCATATACCGGACCCAATTCCAGACTCCGTGATACCACTAAGATTTTTTTTTAAACCCTCTTATACTTACCGGCAGTCGCACTTGCGACCACTCGGCCAACGATGCAGTCAATATAGTATATTTTTATGCATTACTTGTTTAATAATATTTATTTATTTTCTCCAGGTGTGTGGATCGGGACGGCACAATTTACGTGCGCGATCTAGTACAGGAACAACAGCTGATACCCATAACTCTATCACTCGCCGACTATTACGAGGACTACTCACCGAACGCAACAATAACTGACTGGACACCGGGAGAGTCATGCGTCGTCTACGATAGCAGAAGGAGTCTGTATTTAAGATCAATAATCATGACAGTGGATACAGAAAACAGCACGTGTACTGTTGGGTACATTGATTACGGCAACATAAACGAACATGCCTTTGAGGACCTACGGAAAGGCACGCCGACGCGGCACATACCTGCCCTAGCTCAGGCATGTTCGTTTTATAACTTAAGGCCCGAGGGAGGCACTTGGACTGAGGAAACCATGGACTATATGAATGAACATATCTTAGGCCGAGTATGTGACCTACGCATATGTGGTTTGGTATTCACCGGTAATTCTATTAATTTCTTAATTGATTTGGTAGATGCTACACCGTGGGCAAGCTATAACCAGCCGAGAGATTTAGTTGATCATATTTACTGCGCATCCTACCTCCGTCACCAGGGCACGGTCTATCGCCCTAATCGTCCATATTTGTAGGGAGTAAGTCATGTACCGTCGTGGTGGCCCGGAGGTTTATGACGCCCGCATCTCATGCATGTTCAAAACCTACCAACGGCAAGTACCCAATTGTTGTTCCTGGTCTGGGTGTCATGCTTATGTGATATTGTATGTTTGTAAACGGACTCACGACACAAGAGGAAATCCTAGTGTGGGGCAAGATTTATTAAAAAGAAGAGAAAGAGAGAAAATTCTATACCGGTTTCAGTCAGTCAACTGACTGGATTAACTAAAAGTCGCGGGTTATATGCGGTAGCCGCGACCGCGCACGCTGGTCATGAGGAAGAACCCCTCTGTAGTTCCAAACAAGTAGAGCTTTTCTCAGTATATTCACGTGAGTAACCCGCGAGTTTTAGTCAATTTAGTGTCTCACGATAGTTAATGTAAAAAGTTAGTCAACTGTTATTGTTAATGTATTCAGTATGTCTTGTATGATTGTGTCATGTATAAAGAAATGATTGTAAAAATATATGTTAAGTATACTTTGTAACAATTAGTTGATAAGTTAAATAAAAAGCAAAATCTATAATTTTATGTTTTAATGTTGACCTAGATTTCCTCTGTACCAGTTACTTGTAACTCACTCATCATATACATCGTGACTTCATTCGTCTTACGAAACATGTCCACACGTTGTATATGCCTAACTTCTGCGCGAGGTTTTTGTCAATACTGTGTCCAATATTGTCTAACTATAACTTCTGGGCGAGGTTTTGGTCAATAATGTGTCCAATCACTACATAGTATAAAACAAAGTCGCTGTACGAGCCATAATGCTCATACAGCAATTTTATATTGAATGCAAACGTATATAATGCATCGAACTAATAACTTTAATTAATCGTACACAAGTCGTAACAAGGTCGCTATCACGTGCTAATGTGTAGCAATCGGAACTAACATAGAATACGTAATAATACGTAAAGTGCGATTCAGATAACTAAACGTAGCCTAATTGGTAGTCAGAAAATAAACAAGTAAACCTAAAGGAACTTCGGAGTCTGAATTATTGCCTACAACCTACAACTACAATCGGAGTTGTCGTCAACGACGAGAAAACCCCAACAGTCGCTATCCGCCGTCTGTCTGTCCCTATGTATGCTTAGATCTTTAAAACTACGCAACGGATTTTGATGCGGTTTTTTTTTAATAGTGATTCTTAACCCTTTGAGTACGTCATTAAAGACACAATTATAGAACAATAGATGTACGGACACCGGTGAGAAACCTCCTCACGATACGTGAGGAGATTTCTGTGACGGCCCTTGATCTTTTCTTGATTTCAATTCATTTGTGGTGAGAGTGCCTTCCGTGGATTTACCGAAATTCATGACACCAGAGTTTTGGCCGAAAGGTGTTGTTTTCCGGCGATTCCGCGGCCGGATACCTGACACCGCGCAGCACACGACGCCGACACAGCATAATAGTCGTGATAATTAGTGTTTTTAATTTCTTACTTACTTTATGTATTTATAGTATTTAAGTTAAAATTGTAGTAGATATTATAGTATTATTGTATTTTAATATGGGCCTTCGTTGCCTGATATAAAAAAATAAATAAAAAATCAAAAAAAATTCACGTGATGCCAGCCGCCTGAGATAAATGTCGAGGCTTTTAGGGTTTTAACCTATTGGTATCATTATGATAGATGAATCCACACTCCACATGTCGAAAACCTCGTGAGCTAAGTCTAGATACTATTTTATTTGTTTATCTTTCTCAACTTTCTCGAGGTGCTCGTCTTGGGGGATGGTGACATCGATTATCATCGTACGGCATTTAAGTCTATTATTATTACAACATTAAACTTTACACGCCAAAAGCAGTAGGCGATGTATGCGGGACTATTCTTTATAATTACTATCAAACTACGTGTAGATAAATGTTCTTATTTTTAAACCTTCAATACAACAGGGTGCTTACTCTTGAATCCAATTCCGATCGATCGACTTTGGTATTGTGAAATTTCGTACTCTTGAGTTGCAACACTAGCGCCCATAGCGTCCGTATTGCGTGGATATTGAATGAACTAAATGGTATTGAGTTTGGCTTTATTTTCCGTACTCTAAATACTATTTTAATAGCTACGATAGGGGTTGTATAGTTTTGACATTGAATAATTATTGAGATTTTATTGGATTGATATTGCATTAGCATTGAGATTGGTTTAAGAGTAAGCACCCAGATCCTTTTGTTTAACAAAAAGACTAACCTTTGATCTTTAAATGGTCAAAATGGTTCTACCCATCCCTCTGTTCTACAAGACATTATTGTTCTATAGACAAAGGATTCGGATGATATGTCTTAACGACCACCCCATTCAAAATGTTATTTTATTACAAGTAGCGTGGTATTATGGTATTTTTTCATTGTGTAGAGAGTGCACTTAAATAAGCTGAATGCATGCATGTTCAAAACCTACCAACGGCAAGTACCCAATTGTTGTTCCTGGTCTGGGTGTCATGCTTATGTGATATTGTATGTTTGTAAACGGACTCACGACACAAGAGGAAATCCTAGTGTGGGGCAAGATTTATTAAAAAGAAGAAAAAGAGAGAAAATTCTATACCGGTTTCAGTCAGTCAACTGACTGGATTAACTAAAAGTCGCGGGTTATACGCGGTAGCCGCGACCGCGCACGCTGGTCATGAGGAAGAACCCCTCTGTAGTTCCAAACTAGTAGAGCTTTACTCAGTATATTCACGTGAGTAACCCGCGAGTTTTATTCAATTTAGTGTCTCACGATAGTTAATGTAAAAAGTTAGTCAACTGTTATTGTTAATGTATTCAGTATGTCTTGTATGATTGTGTCATGTATAAAGAAATGATTGTAAAATATATGTTAAGTATACTTTGTAACAATTAGTTGATAAGTTAAATAAAAATCAAAACCTATAATTTTATGTTTTAATGTTGACCTAGATTTCCTCTGTACCAGTTACTTGTAACTCACTCATCATATACAATGTAGATGATGCAAAAACTAACAAAAACCTCGCCCAGAAGTCACGATGTAGATTCTACATCGTGACTTCTGGGCGAGGTTTTTGTCGCTACTGTGTCCAATATTGTATAATTATAACTTCTGCGCGAGGTTTTTAGTTAGTTTTTGTATAAGTGTGGAAGAGCCATGCTTCCGCACTGCTGGGCCGTCTCGACCGGAGTAATACCACCAACGAGCAGAAAACCGACGTGAAACAACCACAGCGTTGTATTTCGTCGTGTGAGTAAGGTTACCGGAGGCCCACTTATCTAACGCTATGTTACCGCATAGTTCCCGGTCTCGTGAGATTTCTGTGATGAAAACTATCTTACACACGTTCCTAGATATCAAACTATCGTTATACTGCATTTCCCTCATATAGTTTCAGCGGTTGATGAGATAAAGTTCCAGGATTTTAATGCATTGTTCCTGTCTCTGTAGGATTACCGGATACAGAAACCTCCTCACGATACGTGCCGTTTCAAGGAAAATTGCCTTCTGTATCAGGCCCTTTATCTTTTCACGTGACGCCAGCTTCCTGAGATAAATTTCGAGGCTTTTAGGGTTTTAACCTATTGGTATCATTATGATAGCTGAATCCACACTTCACATGTCGACAACCTCGTGAGCTAAGTCTAGTTATTTTATTTGTTTATCTTTCTCAACTTTCTCGAGGTGCTCGTCTTGGGGATGGTGACATCGATTATCATCGTACGGCATTTAAGTCTATTATTATTATAACATTTAACCTTGCACGCCAAAAGCAGTAGGCGATGTATGCGGGACTATTCTTTATAATTACTATCAAACTACGTGTAGATAAATGTTCTTATTTTTAAACCTTCAATACAACAGATCCTTTTGTTTAACAAAAAGACTAACCTTTGATCTTTAAATGGTCAAAATGGTTCTACCCATCCCTCTGTTCTACAAGACATTATTGTTCTATAGACAAAGGATTCGGATGATGCCTTAACGACCACCCCATTCACAATGTTATTTTAATACAAGTAGCGTGGTATTATGGTATTTTTTCATTGTGTAGAGAGTGCACTTAGATAAGCTGAAAGCAGTCAGTCGGTCAGTCAGTTCGTGAGTCGCTTCCAAGGTGGACGTAACCAGAATCACTCTTTCCGACCAAACTGCGAGGAGAACAACATATTTCGGTAAGTCGTTATATTATCTATTAGCTTCTGCCTCTGTTCCAAATTTCATCCCAGTGCCAGTACCCAGTGTTGTGTACCCAGGTATTAAAGTATAATCATACCAAGTTTGATTCAAATCGGACCGGTGGTTTTTGCGTAATGCGTGAACATACATACAGACAGACAGACAGACAAAAATTGTCTATCTAGTAACACTCCCTACTGTTTTATTTAATACTTTAAATTACATTAGTAAATGAAATATAATTACATAAACTACATAATTTCAATATTAACATTAGAAATATTACCTATATGATTAAACTAAAATTATTAATATTATGAATATTATTAAAAACTAAAATCATTACACCTGAAAATTACCTTAATTAAATGTAATTTTGTAATTATGTATTTAATGATAATTATATTAAAATAATATTTAATGACACATTTGTGTATAAAAGAAATTAAAGACTAATTATTATAGTTAGTAAAGAGCAATATAAGCCCAGTCTAACAAGGTGAATACATCATAATATCATCATCATACCATAACGCTTTTATCGCCGAAGGAGTAGGCAGAGGTGAATATTACGACACTTAATGCCACTGTACAATGTAACACCTACTTTTCACTATTTACGTTATGAGTCCCATGTAATAGGGGTGAGCCTATTGCTATATACCGGGCACAATTTCAGACTTCGAGATTTTTTAAAACCCAGTAATATTTTGCCCGACCTGGGAATCGAGACCCCTTGCCCGACAGTCGCACTCGCGACCACTCGGCCAATGAGACAGTATACATTTTAATAAGTATTTTTCTTGCAGAAATGATATTGGAGAGAATTCACTTATTTGAGGACGCGGAGGTCGAGGATCAATTCCCGCTGCAAGATATTGGCATACTGGAAGATGTAAGTAACAATTATAATTTTAATATTTCATCTATAATTATTTTATGTGTCATGGTGGCTGGGGGTTAAGACGCCCACTTCTCATGTCCGAGGATATAACAATGTGATTTTTTCCGACTTTATATGTACTTTCTAGGATTATTTAGATACCACTGACAAACGGTGAAGGAAAATGAAACTGTTTTAGACTATTATTGTATAGAAATGTCGAAATAATGTTTTAATTGCATCTTATTTGTTTGCATCCAGGATTTCACTGAAGAAGAAAATTCAGAAGACGAACAAGAGTTTTATGATGCGTATGAAGTTATGTCGGCCATGGTGCGGGAAGGTGGCAACAGTGGTGAACAAGATCCCAGTTCTTCCACCAATAACTGGCTGCCACCAGAACCTCCCGAGGGCCACAGGTTTATTGGAATCACCACGTAAGTATTTTTTATCGGATAAGCCTGTAAACGAGCTGACGGATCACCTGATGGTAAGCAATCGGATCACCTGGTGGTCTCATGTAATAGGGGGTTAGCCTATTGCCATACACCGGACACAATTCCAGATTCCGTGATACCACTAAGATTTTATTTTTAAACCCAGTAATATTTACCGGTAGTCGCACTTGCGACCACTCGGCCAACGATGCAGTCAATATAGTATATTTTTATGCATTACTTGTTTAATAATATTTATTTATTTTCTCCAGGTGTGTGGATCGGGACGGCACAATTTACGTGCGCGATGTAGTACAGGAACAACAGCTGATACCCATAACTCTAATACTCGCCGACTATTACAAGGACTACTCACCGAACGCAACAATAACTGACTGGACACCGGGAGAGTCATGCGTCGTCTACGATAGCAGAAGGAGTCTGTATTTAAGATCAATAATCATGACAGTGGATACAGAAAACAGCACGTGTACTGTTGGGTACATTGATTACGGCAACATAAACGAACATGCCTTTGAGGACCTACGGAAAGGCACGCCGACGCGGCACATACCTGCCCTAGCTCAGGCATGTTCGTTTTATAACTTAAGGCCCGAGGGAGGCACTTGGACTGATGAAGCCATGGACTATATGAATGAACATACCTTAGGCCGAGTATGGGACTTACGCATATGTGGTTTGGTATTCACCGGTAATTCTATTAATTTCTTAATTGATTTGGTAGATGCTACACCGTGGGCAAGCTATAACCAGCCGAGAGATTTAGTTGATCATATTTACTGCGCATCCTACCTCCGTCACCAGGGCACGGTCTATCACCCTAATCGTCCATATTTGTAGGGAGTAGGTCATGTACCGTCGTGGTGGCCCGGAGGTTTATGACGCCCGCATCTCATGCATGTTCAAAACCTACCAACGGCAAGTACCCAATTGTTGTTCCTGGTCTGGGTGTCATGCTTATGTGATATTGTATGTTTGTAAACGGACTCACGACACAAGAGGAAATCCTAGTGTGGGGCAAGATTTATTAAAAAGAAGAGAAAGAGAGAAAATTCTATACCGGTTTCAGTCAGTCAACTGACTGGATTAACTAAAAGTCGCGGGTTATACGCGGTAGCCGCGACCGCGCACGCTGGTCATGAGGAAGAACCCCTCTGTAGTTCAAACTAGTAGACTTTTCTCAGTAATTCACGTGAGTAACCCGCGAGTTTTAGTTAATTTAGTGTCTCACGATAGTTATGTAAAAAGTTGTCAACTGTTATTGTTAATGTATTCAGTATGTCTTGTATGATTGTGTCATGTATAAAGAAATGATTGTAAAAATATATGTTAAGTATACTTTGTAACAATTAGTTGATAAGTTAAAAAAAGCAAAAACTATAATTTTATGTTTTAATGTTGACCTAGATTTCCTCTGTACCAGTTACTAGCACCTAACTCTCTCATCATATACATCGCGACTTCATGTCCATACATTGTATATGCCTAACTTCTGGGCGAGGTTTTTGTCGATACTGTGGCCAATATTGTATAATTATAACTTCTGCGCGAGGTTTTTGTCGATACTCTGGCCACTATTGTATAATTATAACTTCTGGGCGAGGTTTTTGTCGATACTGTGGCCAATATTGTATAATTATAACTTCTGCGCGAGGTTTTTTGTTAGTTTTTGTATCATTTTAAGTGTGGAAGAGCCATGCTACGACACTGCTGGGCCGTCTCGACCGGAGTGATACCACCAACGAGCAGAAATCCGACGTGAAACAACCACAGCGTTGTATTTCGTCGTGTGAGTAAGGTTACCGGAGGCCCACTTATCTAACGCTATGTTACCGCATAGTTCCCGGTCTCGTGAGATTTCTGTGATGAAAACTATCTTACGCACGTTCCTAGATATCAAACTATCGTTATACTGAATTTCCCGCATATAGTTTCAGCGGTTGATGAGATAAAGTCCCGGGATTTTAATGCATTGTTCCTGTCTCTGTAGGTTTACCGGATACAGAAACCTCCTCACGATACGTGCCGTTTCAAGGAAAATTGCCTTCTGTATCAGGCCCTTTATCTTTCCACCTAACGCCAGCCTCCTGAGATAAACGTCGAGGCTTTTAGGGTTTTAACCTATTGGTATCATTATGATAGCTGAATCCACACTCCACATGTCGAAAACCTCGTGAGCTAAGTCTAGATACTATTTTATTTGTTTATCTTTCTCAACTTTCACGAGGTGCTCGTCTTGGGGGATGGTGACATCGATTATCATCGTACGGCATTTAAGTCTACTATTATTATAACATTTAACTTTGCACGCCAAAAGCAGTAGGCGACGTATTTAATTTAATTAATTTGTTTATTTATTTTTCTCCCATTTGTTACATAATATATAAAATCATAACAGGTAAAACATATATTTTAGGTAAGTACGTAACAACAAACTTAATAAATGTTTATTAGTGTATGCGGGACTATTCTTTATAATTACTTATTATCAAACTACGTGTAGATAAATGTTCTTATTTTTAAACCTTCAATATATCCTTTTGTTTAACAAAAAGGTCAGTATCTTTAAATGGTCAAAGTAGCGTGGTATTATGGTATTTTTTCATTGTGTAGAGAGTGCACTTAGATAAGCTGAAAGCAGTCAGTCGGTCAGTCAGTTCGTGAGTCGCTTCCAAGGTGGACGTAACCAGAATCACTCTTTCCGACCAAACTGTGAGGAGAACAACATATTTCGGTAAGTCGTTATATTATCTATTAGCTTCTGCCTCTGTTCCAAATTTCATCCCAGTGCCAAAGTACCCAGTGTTGTACCCAGGATATTAAAGTATAATCATACCAAGTTTGATTAAAATCGGACCGGTGGTTTTTGCGTAACGCGTGAACGTACATACAGACAGACAGACAGACAGACAGACAAAAATTGTCTATCTAGTAACACTCCCTACTGTTTTATTTAATACTTTAAATTACATTAGTAAATGAAATATAATTACATAAACTACATAATTTCAATATTAATATTAGAAATATTACCTATATGATTAAACTAAAATTAATATTATCAATATAAATAATTAAAATCTAAAATAATTACACCTTAAAATTACCTTAATTAAATGTAATTTTGTAATTATGTATTTAATGATAATATTTATTAGTAATCGCGACTTATAAATAATATTTAATGACACATTTGTGTATAAAAGAAATGAAAGACTAATTACAGTAAGTAAAGAGCAATATAAGCCCAGTCTAACACGGTGAATACATCATAATTATAAACTTTAACATCATCATCATACCATAACGCCTTTTATCGCCGAAGGAGTAGGCAGAGGTGAATATTACGACACTTAATGCCACTGTACAATGTATCACCCACTATTCACTATTTATGTTATGAGTCCAATGTAATAGGGGGTGAGCCTATTGCCATATACCGGGCACAATTTCAGACTTCGAGATTTTTTTAAAACCCAGTAATATTTTGCCCGACCTGGGAATCGAGACGCGACCACTCGGCCAATGAGACAGTATACATTTTAATAAGTATTTTTCTTGCAGAAATGATATTGGAGAGAATTCACTTATTTGAGGACGCGGAGGTCGAGAATCAATTCCCGCTGCAAGATATTGGCATACTGGAAGATGTAAGTAACAAGTACATTTTAATATTTCATCTATAATTATTTTTATGTGACATGGTGGCTGGGGGTTAAGACGCCCACTTCTCATGTCCGAGGATTCGAAACCTGATAATAACAATGTGATTTTTTCCGAGTTATATGTACTTTCTAGGATTATTTAGACACTACTGACAAACGGTGAAGGATAATGAAACTGTTTTAGACTATTATTGTATAGAAATGTCGAAATAATGTTTTAATTGCATCTCATTTATTTGCCTCCAGGATTTCACTGAAGAAGAAAATTCAGAAGACGAACAAGAGTTTTATGATGCGTATGAAGTTATGTCGGCCATGGTGCGGGAAGGTGGCAACAGTGGTGAACAAGATCCCAGTTCTTCCACCAATAACTGGCTGCCACCAGAACCTCCCGAGGGCCACAGGTTTATTGGAATCACCACGTAAGTTTTTTTTATCGGATAAGCCTGTAAACGAGCTGACGGATCACCGGATGGTAAGCAATCGGATCACCTGGTGGTCTCATGTAATAGGGGGTTAGCCTATTGCCATACACCGGACACAATTCCAGATTCCGTGATACCACTAAGATTTTATTTTTAAACCCAGTAATATTTACCGGTAGTCGCACTTGCGACCACTCGGCCAACGATGCAGTCAATATAGTATATTTTTAAGCATTACTTGTTTAATAATATTTATTTATTTTCTCCAGGTGTGTGGATCGGGACGGCACAATTTACGTGCGGGATATAGTACAGGAACAACAGCTGATACCCATAACTCTAATACTCGCCGAGTATTACAAGGACTACTCACCGAACGAAACAATAACTGACTGGACACCGGGAGAGTCATGCGTCGTCTACGATAGCAGAAGGAGTCTGTATTTAAGATCAATAATCATGACAGTGGATACAGAAAACAGCACGTGTACTGTTGGGTACATTGATTACGGCAACATAAACGAACATGCCTTTGAGGACCTACGGAAAGGCACGCCGACGCGGCACATACCTGCCCTAGCTCAGGCATGTTCGTTTTATAACTTAAGCCCCGAGGGAGGCACTTGGACTGATGAAGCCATGGACTATATGAATGAACATATCTTAGGCCGAGTATGCGACTTACGTATTCACCGGTAATTCTATTAATTTCTTAATTGATTTGGTAGATGCTACACCGTGGGCAAGCTATAACCAGCCGAGAGATTTAGTTGATCATATTTACTGCGCATCCTACCTCCGTCACCAGGGCACGGTCTATCGCCCTAATCGTCCATATTTGTAGGGAGTAAGTCATGTACCGTTGTGGTGGCCCGGAGGATTATGACGCCCGCATCTCATGCACAAGAGGAAATCCTAGTGTGGGGCAAGATTTATTAAAAAGAAGAGAAAGAGAGAAAATTCTATACCGGTTTCAGTCAGTCAACTGACTGGATTAACTAAAAGTCGCGGGTTATACGCGGTAGCCGCGACCGCGCACGCTGGTCATGAGGAAGAACCCCTCTGTAGTTCCAAACTAGTAGAGGTTTTCTCAGCATATTCACGTGAGTAACCCGCGAGTTTTAGTCAATTTAGTGTCTCACGATAGTTAATGTAAAAAGTTAGTCAACTGTTATTGTTAATGTATTCAGTATGTCTTGTATGATTGTGTCATGTATAAAGAAATGATTGTAAAAATATATGTTAAGTATACTTTGTAACAATTAGTTGATAAGTTAAATAAAAACCAAAAACTATAATTTTATGTTTTAATGTTAACCTAGATTTCCTCTGTACCAGTTACTTGTAACTCACTCATCATTTACATCGTGACTTCTGGGCGAGGTTTTTGTCGATACTGTGGCCAATATTGTATAATTATAACTTCTGCGCTAGGTTTTGGTCAATAATGTGTCCAATCACTACATAGTATAAAACAAAGTCGCTATCCGCCGTCTGTCTGTCCCTATGTATGCTTAGATCTTTAAAACTACGCAACGGATTTTGATGCGGTTTTTTTTTTAATAGTGATTCTTAACCCTTTGAGTACGTCATTAACTCGTCGAGTACCGGTTTTATAGACACAATTAAAGAACAATAGGTCGCGGTCACCGGTGACCGCTTGGTGTTTGACAGTTTAAAGACACAATTATAGAACAATAGATGTACGGACACCGGTGAGAAACCTCCTCACGATACGTGAGGAGATTTCTGTGACGGCCCTTGATCTTTTCTTGATTTCAATTCATTTGTGGTGAGAGTGCCTTCCGTGGATTTACCGAAATTCATGACACCAGAGTTTTGGCCGAAAGGTGTTATTTTCCGGCGATTCCGCGGCCGGATACCTGACACCGCGCAGCACACGACGTCGACACAGCATAATAGTCGTGATAATTAGTGTTTTTAATTTCTTACTTACTTTATGTATTTATAGTATTTAAGTTAAAATTGTAGTAGATATTATAGTATTATTGTATGTTAATATGGGCCTTCGTTGCCTGATATAAAAAAATAAATAAAAAATAAAAAAAATTCACGTGATGCCAGCCGCCTGAGATAAATGTCGAGGCTTTTAGGGTTTTAACCTATTGGTATCATTATGATAGATGAATCCACACTCCACATGTCGACAACCTCGTGAGCTAAGTCTAGATACTATTTTATTTGTTTATCTTTCTCAACTTTCACGAGGTGCTCGTCTTGGGAGTTGGTGACATCGATTATCATCGTACGGCATTTAAGTCTATTATTATTATAACATTTAACTTTGCCAAAAGCAGTAGGCGATGTATGCGGGACTATTCTTTATAATTACTATCAAACTACGTGTAGATAAATGTTCTTATTTTTAAACCTTCAATACTACATATCCTTTTGTTTAACAAAAAGACTAACCTTTGATCTTTAAATGGTCAAAGTGGTTCTACCCATCCCTCTGTTCTACAAGACTTTATTGTTCTATAGACAAAGGATTCGGATGATATGTCTTAACGACCACCCCATTCAAAATGTTATTTTATTACAAGTAGCGTGGTATTATGGTATTTTTTCATTGAGTAGAGAGTGCACTTAGATAAGCTGAATGCATGCATGTTCAAAACCTGCCAACGGCAAGTACCCAATTGTTGTTCCTGGTCTGGGTGTCATGCTTATGTGATATTGTATGTTTGTAAACGGACTCACGACACAAGAGGAAATCCTAGTGTGGGGCAAGATTTATTAAAAAGAAGAGAAAGAGAGAAAATTGTATATCGGTTTCAGTCAGTCAACTGACTGGATTAACTAAAAGGCGCGGGTAACACGCGGTCGCCGCGACCGCGCACGCTGGTCATGAGGAAGAACCCCTCTGTAATTCGAAACTAGTAGAGGTTTTCTCAGTATATTCACGTGAGTAACTCGCGAGTTTTAGTTAATTTAGTGTCTCACGATAGTTAATGTAAAAAGTTAGTCAACTGTTATTGTTAATATATTCAGTATGTCTTGTATGATTGTGTCATGTATAAAGAAATGATTGTAAAAATATATGTTAAGTATACTTTGTAACAATTAGTTGATAAGTTAAATAAAAACAAAAAACTATAATTTTATGTTTTAATGTTAACAATATTTCCTCGGTAACAGTTACTTGTAACTCACTCATCATCTACAATGTAGATGATGCAAAAACTAACTGTGTCCAATATTGTATAATTAAAACTTCTGCGCGAGGTTTTTGTTAGTTTTTGTATCATTTTAAGTGTGGAAGAGCCATGCTACGGCACTGCTGGGCCGTCTCGACCGGAGTGATACCACCAACGAGCAGAAATCCGACGTGAAACAACCACAGCATTGTATTTCGTCGTGTGAGTAAGGTTAATTACCGGAGGCCCACTTATCTAACGCTATGTTACCGCATAGTTCCCGGTCTCGTGAGATTTCTGTGATGAAAACTATCTTACGCACGTTCTCAGATCTCAAACTATCGTTATACTGAATTTCCCTCATATAGTTTCAGTGGTTGATGAGATAAAGTCCCGGGATTTAACTCGTCGAGTACCGTATTTATAGACACAATTAAAGAACAATAGGTTGCGGTCACCGGTGACCGCTTGGTGTTTGACAGTTTAATGCATTGTTCCTGTCTCTGTAGGATTACCGGATACAGAAACCTCACAGAAACCTCCTCACGATACGTGCCGTTTCAAGGCAAATTGCCTTCTGTATCAGGCCCTTGACCCTTCCACCTAACACCAGCCTTCTGAAATGAATGTCGAGGCTTTTAGGGTTTTAACCTATTGGTATCATTATGATAGCTGAATCCACACTTCACATGTCGACAACCTCGTGAGCTAAGTCTAGTTATTTTATTTGTTTATCTTTCTCAACTTTCTCGAGGTGCTCGTCTTGGGGGATGGTGACATCGATTATCATCGTACGGCATTTAAGTCTATTATTATTATAACATTTAACCTTGCACGCCAAAAGCAGTAGGCGATGTATGCGGGACTATTCTTTATAATTACTATCAAACTACGTGTAGATAAATGTTCTTATTTTTAAACCTTCAATACAACAGATCCTTTTGTTTAACAAAAAGACTAACCTTTGATCTTTAAATGGTCAAAATGGTTCTACCCATCCCTCTGTTCTACAAGACATTATTGTTCTATAGACAAAGGATTCGGATGATGCCTTAACGACCACCCCATTCACAATGTTATTTTAATACAAGTAGCGTGGTATTATGGTATTTTTTCATTGTGTAGAGAGTGCACTTAGATAAGCTGAAAGCAGTCAGTCGGTCAGTCAGTCGGTCAGTCAGTTCGTGAGTCGCTTCCAAGGTGGACGTAACCAGAATCACTCTTTCCGACCAAACTGCGAGGAGAACAACATATTTCGGTATGTCGTTACATTATCTATTAGCTTCTGCCTCTGTTCCAAATTTCATCCCAGTGCCAAGGTACCCAGTGTTGTACCCAGGATATTAAACTATTATCATACCAAGTTTCGCGACCACTCAGCCAATGAGATAGTATACATTTTCTTGCAGAAATGATATTGGAGAGAATCCACTTATTTGAGGACGCGGAGGTCGAGGATCAATTGTCGTTGGGTGACATTGGCATACTGGAAGATGTAAGTAACAATAATTATTTTAATAATTCATTTATAATTATTTTCTGTCTGTGTGTGTGTGTGTGTGTCTGTCTGTCTCTGTGTGTATGTGTGTGTTTGACCGATTAAGCTGAAATTCACGTATACTCGTTTAGTTTGCGTGACAATAAACGCTTCGCTGTAAACAAGCTTTTTAATTGTAACTTATTTGTTTGCACCCAGGATTTCATTGAAGAAGATGAAGTTGAAGTCAACGAACAAGAATTTAATAATGAGTATGAAGTTATGTCGACCATGGTGCGAGAAGGTGGCAACAATGGTGAACAAGATCCCAGTTCTTCCACGAATAACTGGCTGCCATCAGAACCTCCCGAGTGCCATAGATTTATGGGATTAACCACGTAAGTTTTTTTTTATCGGATAAGCCTGTAAACGAGCTGAGGAATCACCTGACGGTAAGCAATCGGCACCGCCCATGGACACCTGGACCACCAGAGATGTTACAAGTGCGTTGCCGGCCTTTTAGGGATTAGGAATTTGAGGATTGTTGGCGACGAAATACAACGCAAGCGTTGTTTCACTATGGTTTTCTGCTCGTTGGCGGTATCATTCCGGTCGAGCCGGCCAAGCAGTGCCGAAACATGGCTCTCCTATATTTAATCCAACCATCCAAACAATGTTCAAACACTGTACAATGTATCACCCACTGTTCACTATTTATGTTATGAATCCCAAGTAATAGGGGGTGAGCCTATTGCCATATAACGGACACAATTTCAGACTCCGCGATACCACTGAGAATTTTTTTTGAAACCCAGTAATACTTTGCCCGACCCGGGAATCGAATCCGAGACCCCTTGCCCGGTAGTCGCACTTGCGACTACTTGGCCAACGAGGCAGTCATTATAGTATATTTATTTTTTATTTATTTTTTCCAGTTGTGTGGATCGGGACGGCACAATTTACGTGCGCGATATAGTACAGGCACAACAGCTGATACCCATAACTCTATCACTCGCCGAATATTACAAGGACTACTCACCGAACGAAACAATAACTGACT